AAATTGACTGTATATTGTGATGTATTATTTTTTACATATTTTTTTTCTATTTTATTATTGAAAAATATTATTAAATTAAATATTTTATTATCCTTATTTTATTTTAGTACTGTAAAAGATATAATTATGATTATTAAAAAACTTACAAAATTAAATGATAATATAATAATTTACATTTTTAACAAATTTTATAGACATGATTGTATAGATATGATTATAAAGATATCATTTAACTAATTGTGTGAAACAGTTATTATGAAAGTTTTATTGAAAATTTTATTACAAAACAATTAAATTTGATTTAAAAAATCAATAAATAAATCAATAAATAAATATAATTTTTAATTTAATATAACTGCTATTATTAAATATATACAAACAATATTTTATTAAAGTAAAGTAAAGTAAAAAAAAATTCAATAATATGATTAGTAAAAAAAAACGATAATAAATGTTACATCAATAATATAATCATATAGTATTCATAATAATAATTTGTATTTATAATAAATTTTAATATAAAAATTATTACATATTATTTAACTAAATAATATCTAACAGTTATCATAAAAATTTTATCTAAATTTCTGAATAATTATCTAAAAAAAATAAAAATAACAATTAATATATTGTATAATTATAGAAATTATTTTATAATCAAATTGTTTATATTTATATAATGTGAAATCAATTTTTATCATTTTAAACTTTATACTTTTTAAATTGAATAAAATATTATATTTAGATTATAATTAATAATAAATTAACACTAAATGCTTAATATATTTCAATAATTATTTTGTTTGTTTTAAAAGTGAAATTTAAGACGTAATTTTAAGTAAAAATTATTTATTTTTTGTTAATTTGTGTTAAAAAATAATAAAATTAATTACTAATAATATTATTAAATATATATATATATACTAATTGCAACATGTTAATTCTAGTTAAATTAATTGTTGTAATTATATTAGTTTGTATTAATCAATGCATAAGTCAACTGATTTTGAATAGCGATTTAAATAATAGTAAATATATATTTATATAAAACTTTTTATAAATCATATTAATTAATAATATTTTATAATACTATTATTAATTACATTATAATACTATTATTAATTACATTATAATACTATTATTAATTACATTATAATACTATTATTAATTACATTAAAATACTATTTTTACTTACATAATAATAATAATAATAATATAGTTTTAAATAGTTTACATGTTAAAATTATGTTTAAAAATTATTATTACTTATTTTAACAATATAATATTTAATTGTTTTATTTTTTTACTATTTAATTAGATTGCGACAGTGTTGAACTCAATCAACCATCGGGTATTATAACCAGTCCGATGTACCCGGATAATTATCTATCCAATCAACAATGTACCTGGTTCATTACAGTTCAAGCTGGCAATAAGATACGGGTAAAATTTACAAATTTATTGACGGAATCCGGTATAGACTATGTTAACCTATACGATGGTCACACTGATAGTAATAGTAGTTTATTGGGTAGTTATACTGGACCATTTAGATCAACAATGACCATGATCAAATCAACTGGCAATCAAATGATGATTGTATTTCATAGCGATCATAGTGTCGAGTATCAAGGTTTTAGACTTGAATATTATTCACTAGGTAATTATTTCAATTTTTTTTTAATTTACATTATATATTTAGTTGTTTATTAATTTAATTGACCTTGATCAACTAAAAGTAGTTAATTATATAATATTTACTTTATGTTAAATGTTAAATATTATTATTTATTAATATTTATTATTATTTATTAATATTTATTAATATTTATTAATATTTATTAATATTTATTAATATTTATTGATATTTATTAATATTTATTGATATTTATTAATATTTATTGATATTTATTAATATTTATTGATATTTATTAATATTTATTAATATTTATTAATATTTATTAATATTTATTAATATTTATTAATATTTATTAATATTTATTAATATTTATTAATATTTATTAATATTTATTAATATTTATTAATATTTATTAATATTTATTAATATTTATTAATATTTATTAATATTTATTATTATTTATTAATATTTATTAATATTTATTAATATTTATTAATATTTATTAATATTTATTAATATTTATTAATATTTATTAATATTTATTAATATTTATTAATATTTATTATTATTTATTAATATTTATTATTATTTATTAATATTATTATTATTTATTAATATTATTATTATTTATTAATATTATTATTATTTATTAATATTATTATTTATTTATTTAAAATATTATAAATAGAAGGCGATATAGATCTTAAAAATTTTTCATCAATAAAATGTGGTGCAAATTATTATCATCAATTAAGTGATCATATTATCTATAATGGCAACAATAATAATAATAATAAAATTGAAAAATGTCTATGGAATATAACAACTGTTCAGGGTAAAAGTTTACGATTTACCTTGAACAAATTGAACATTTTACATGGTGTTGTACAATTTTATGATGCTGATAATTTTAGCATCAATAATAATAGTTATAATAATAGTTATAATAATTTAGAAACATTTTACAGCAACATAAATAATAATAATGATAATAATAATGTTAGACATTTAGTATCAAAATCAAACAATGTTGTTATTGCTGCACATATACAAGGTCAATTGGATATCCAATATGAGACAATTGATCATGGTATTATCTATTTATTAAATTTTTGATAATTAAATATTAAGTTATTATTATTATTATTAGGATGTGGCGGCAATTACTATAAACTAAACGGTACTATTTATAGTCCAGGTTATCCATTGGCCTATGATGACCGATTAACATGTACCTGGACAATTAATGTAACTGATGATTATAATCTATTATTGCAAATAGATACCGGTTCATATAATCTAACTGAAAATGGTTATAGTTTAGTGATAACAAATAGTAAAACTATTGCTAGATATTCATATAGCAATTCAAAAGATATTTTATATAATTCAAGCGATACTATTAATTATAATAATAATAATAATAGCTATAATAATAATATTAATATAAATGCAATGGGAAATTTTGTCAAGATCATTTTTGAATCGCTTATCAAAGATAATAATACTACTAGCAATGATAATACTACTAATAATATTAATACAATTAGACATGGATTTAAAATTAAATATCAATCAAAATTAATGGGTAAGTTTAAAAAAATAAAATATTATTATTTAATTGCTATTTAATTGATAAGAAATAATTATTTATAGATTTTAATTATTTATTGATTTTAATTATTTATTGATTTTAATTAGTTTTATATTTAGTTTTCGTGATACATAATAATATAGAGAAAAATAATTATTAAATATAATATTTTTGTTTTTTTAATTTATTTTTTTTTGTTTAAAAAAAAGGATACACTAATACAATATTTATATCGGAACCAAACTATTTGCTGGATATGACTGCAGACAAACGTTTTGGCCATCATTTGGGTAATCTGTCGATCATTGGGGCCAATGAAAACATTTTGCTAGTATTTTGCCGGAAATTAAATCAATTAAAATTTATCGATAGCCGGGGTTTTAAAAATTTCAAAAACATAGCTATCCCTGGCTATCGTTTAGATCATAATTGTATAGCTTATGATTGGACACATGGACTGGTGTTTTGGATTGACAATCGTTTGAAACATATTAATGTTATACATATTAATAGCACACAAAATAGTCATACAATTGTTGTTAAACTTAAAAGTGATTTATCTAAACATCTATTAGTAAATCATATGAAATCAGTACTCGTTTGGAGTAATATTGGTTTTCATCCAAATCTAATGCAATCAAATTTAGACGGAAGTAATCAAACAGTTATCTATGAAAATCATAGACAACTATCACAACTGACCATTGATTACGATAAACACAGATATTATTTCATTGATTATACATTATATTCGTTATATTCATGCGATTTTGATGGCAATAATGAATTGTTTTATTTGAAATCTGTAAAACTATTTTATTCAATGATCTCAATGCAAGTTATCGATAATGATCTATATATTGCCGATAATCAGAAAATTGTTAAATTATATGAATTAGATCTACAATTACCGAAAGCTGAGGTTATTGTTTCCGTATTGGACTATAGTTTTAGTTTTATTAACAATAAAGATGTTTATTTTTATACAGATAAATTAGTATTTGCTAATGCTAAAAATATAACTAGTTTTATCATGGTCAATAACAATAATACACTAGATAATCAGCATGGTCAATTTACTAATTATTGTACAGGTAGTACATGTCCTAATAGTTGTCTACCCAATGGACAGTCGTATATATGTCTCGATAGAGATCTAAATAATACATTTGAAATTAGTAGTAGTATTAGTAGTAGTATTAGTAGTAGTAGTAATATGGCATTAATTGATTATAATGATGATGATGCTAGTGGTGATCAAATTAAATTAAATAATAAATTATTTGTTAGTAATAATAATAATAATATGGAAATTAAAAAAATTATACAACAATTATCTAGTTTCAAATTGTTGGCAGTGTTTAACATTATTTTGGTTTCAATGCTTGTACTGATTATTGTAATCGTTATAATTATGTAATTATTTTTTCTATTGATTTTTTATTTTATAGGTATTTTTTAAATAATAATTTTATTTATTATTTTTTTTTTGTTTCACACTAACTAATAGACAATTTAGATATCTATTATTCAATGGTATACTATCGTCACAATCAAACAACTATCCGATGCTATCATTAGTTACAAGTGATGGACAACCGATTATTAATAATACTAATAGTGATAATAATGATGATTATAACAATATTAATGATACAATTTTATTGGAAACAATTGACAATTGATTACTGTATTGTTTTTTTTATTTTTGCAAATTTTTAACTAATGTTTTAAAAAAAAAAAAATATTTTAACTAATTAACTGAAATTAACTAAACTATCACAACAATGGGACAACAATATTATTATATTATTTATATTTATTTGCATCGCAATTATCATTAGTAAAGTTACTTTTGTTAATAAAGTTAACATTAAAAAGATTAATAAATAATTAGTATTTTTTGTAATTTTAAATAAACATAATTTTTTTAATAATATTAATAATTGTTTGCATATTTTCCCATAATTATGATGGAAATAATAGACAAGTTTTAGACACCGAAATCAAATTGATATCGTTGTAGACAACATTTGAAACTATTTGCCTTACAATGAAAAGTATTACTAAAAAGTAAATTTTTTATTATATTTACTAATCATAAAATAAATTACACTAAATAGTAACAGTGTTGTAATCAAATAAAATATTTGAATCCATACAAATATAAACGGATAGCCATCGATAAACTGGCCGATAATATAGGGTGAGATCAAGGTTAGTAAAGCCCTAGAAAATAGGAAAGCATTGCCCATTTTGTTGGTTACTGTAAAATATTGGGCCGTAAATGCAAACGATCCGGCAAACAGTGGCGAAAAACCGGCCATCAGTACACAACTGGCTATCCAGAGAACCGTTAGGTGCCAGTAACCGACAATTAACAATACTATGCCGGCAACCAATATTGTATAGTGTATACAGACAACGGTATTGATGGACAAATATATGGCCAACACAATGTTGACCAAACGGGCCACTGAATAGACCACTGTTGCAGTCGTATACATTTGTCCGGCTTTGGGTGCCGTTAGTCTGTGCGGTGAATACTGATAGTATGTTATGGCATACTTGCGAAACATTGCTTCCATTAGTGTATAAGCGCCAAACCATAGGGCAAATAATACGCGCATTAATATACGCGGACTGCGCGGGTCGTCAAAAAATTTCAAATCAGATGTTTGTTGCTTATGTTGTTGTTGTCTATGGCTATCTAGCATTTCCATACCAGCATCACTATCGACATCAGTGTTGCTGTTGTCTGCGACACTACTAATGGTGTCCGATATTTTATATGGTTTAAAAATATAACCAATCATTGATAGGATGGGAACTATTAGATTAATTATTTTATTAACTAATTTTATTTTAATAATTATTTTAATGTATTTTATTAATTATATTAATCTAATTGTTATAGACTTAATATTTAATTGATAGATAAATATTATTAAATAAATAGCTAATTATTATACCTATTGCTAGTGTAGAGCACAACACAATTGACGGCACCATTAGTTTATCTCGTCTAACATCGACCGGCACTAATGGTTTGCCCGGTTCAATGTTACCAGTTGTATACATTGACATAATTGCTGTACTAATGATGGCTCCCAGGCCAAAACCCATTGAGTTCAATAGTAGTACGGGTGCGCTCCGGTGTTTCCAGAGTTCAATAGTCCAGACAATAAAACCGCTGACAGTAATACTGGAGCCGACACCGAACAGGAAGGCAATTAGGTATAGTTGCCATAAACTGGTCAGTAATGGTGTGCACGCGTATAGGACAGACATCATGATAAACGCAATGGCCATCACTAGCTGTCGGTTCAACCATTTGTAAGTCAGTCCAACTATATATTTATAATATGATGTGTACATATAATTATTATTAGTTAACAATTATTATATAATATTATTGTAATAATGTTATTGTTTTTCTCAAAATATCAAAAATTATACTAAACATGTGTTCGTAATTATACTGTAATATTAAATAATAATTTTATTATTTATTTTTTATCAAAACATACCAAATGTTCCCACAGTATTGCCAATAGTTTCAAAAGTTGTCTGCAATGATATCAATTTGATTTCGGTATCCAAAATATATTTCATATCCACCATAATTACGGGAAAATATGCATACAATATACCCTAGTTTTTTAATAAATTATTAATATTATTATTTTATTTTTGGGCTACAAAATGTTTTAGTTACTATAATAACATACTTACATATGATAATTGTGTTGAAAATAAGTAAAAACTATAATAATATTTATCCCATTGTTTTAAAAATTTATTTAATTTTATCATAATTATAAAAAATATTTGTTTTAAATTAATATATTTTTTCTAATTATTTAATAAATTAATTTATCTTAATTATTATAAGTTTTATAAAAATAATTTACTTTTGTCAAAAGCTTCAAACAAATATTTATATATAATATAAATATTAGAAAAATTATTGTTATTAATGTCACTATTAATTTTATTAAAATTATTTTTTTAAAAATAACTTAATAATATTATTTTAATTAATAATTACAATAAATGTTTATCAATATAAATTGTTTATTCATCATGAAATTGAATTTATATGGAAAAAAAACTACAATAATAACAAATAACTTAAAACTTATTATGACTGAAACAGATATTATGTGTGTATTTACAAATAATTAAATAATTAAAATAAAATAATTTTTAAAAATATTATATATTTAATATTAATTTGTATATTTAATTAGTTTAATTAATGTACAGTTAAATGTTTAATGACTAAAAATTGTTTAATCATAATGAAAGTGAATTTATTAGAGAGAAAAAAACAAACAATATATTAAACGTATATTAAATTAAAAATTATTTTTATTTATAAAATATTAGCTAACTGGGTGCCAAATCAATTATTTATGGTATTATACATGGACACTGATTATACTAGTTTATTATGACTAACTGTTGTTATTATGACTTATATTATCGGCCAGTTTATCGATGGCTATCCCTTTATAAATTTGTATGAATTATGAATATTTTATCTGGCTGCAATGTTTGCTATTGTTATAATTATTAATAAAATTTTATTGTTAAAAACTTTTTAATATTATTTTAATTAATGTTTAATGATTTAAATAGTTTAAATCATAATGAAAGTGAATTTTTAAGAGAAAAAAATAACAATATATCGTATATTAAATTAAAAATTACTTTTATATATAAATATAAGTTTAGTTAAAATACTTAGCTAACTGTGTGCCAATTCATTCATCTTTCTATATATAATATACGGTATTAAACATAGACACCGGTATTATAAAATTTACCAAAAAATAAATTAAAGCTTATTATGACTTATTATATATATATATATATATATATATCAGGGTTAAGTAAGGGGGTAGGGGGATAAGACAAAAATACCCCCCCTAAGATCGAGAATTTGGGATTTTAACCCCCAGACTTTTTGAACAAATTGAAAAAATTGTCGCTTAAAAACGATGAGAAATGATCCCCCCTAAAATTTCGGCGCCAAGGCGCCGAAATTTTTTTTATGTTTTTAAAAATTTTAATTTTAATTAAAACTATTTTAGTATGTGTTTTTATGTTTTTAAAATTTATATAAATCTAATTATTGATTATAAATAAGTAAAAAAGTTCATCAAAAAATAACATAATTTTAATTAAAATATTAAACTAAAAAATTAAAAATTATCTATTTATTGAAAAGAATAATCATATTACAATATAAATATAAGTTTGAGATAGTTTAAGAAGTTAATAAAACAATAAATACTTATATTATAAAGTTTTTATTGATAATTTTTAAAATTTTATATAAAAAATTTAAAAATATTTTTAATTTTATAATTAATATAAATAAAACTTTAAAATAATTGAGTTAAATAATTAGTATTCAGTCAGTATTTGTATAAAAATAACATTAAAAATCAAAAAATATATACCTATAACTATAATTAATTATAATAAAATTTAAAAATTACTAAAATACTAAAAAAACTCATTAATGCTTTTATTAACTATTTTAATCTAAAATACACAATTTTATAATTTGTTAAAATTTAAGTTTTTATTAATTTTTAATTTTTTTTTATATTTTTGGAAATTTTACCTATTTTCCTGGGAATTTATACGGGAACTTCTGGGAATTTTCCTAAATTTACATGAGAATATTCGGGAATTTAAGGGAATATTATGGAATTTTCTCTGGACCCCCCCCCCTTGATTTTGGATTTTTGAAAAAATTGCCGTTTAAAAATGTAATAAAAATCTTACCCCACCCAATACCCCCCCCCCCCCCAAGATTTTTCGAGAATTTTGCTAATTTCACCCCGGTCTACCCCCCTAAAATCCAAGACCTTGCTTAACCCTGATATATGTGTGTGTGTGTGTGTGTGATTATATATATAAATATGTTTTGTGTCAAATTTAATTTAAATAACAAAACATTTAGATAATTTAGTCTAACCAATGCCAATAAGATACTGTATTTAGTACAGTACTAAAATCAGATTAATAATAACTATTTTTTACAAATTATACTATTTATTTGATAAGATTGCATACTTGAAAACAAAATTTGTTAACATTAACTATAAATTATGATATAATTAGATTATTAATATAAGTTTATTATTATTAATGTTATTATTGATATATTTGGTAATAATAACTATTACGATTATTAATAGTTATATATTAATTTTATTAAAATTGTTTAGTTTATTCTAATATTTAGTAATTATTTATTTATTAATAATAGACTAAAAGAAAATTGTTAAATTTGAAAGTAAAGTAAATACACTGAAATGAAATTAACTGAATTATTACAACAATGGGATAAATATTATTATAGTTTATATATATTTGCAACACAATTATCATTTGTAAGTTAATTTTGTAAATAATTTTTGTTTTAAAATTAATAAAATATATTTTTTTAAATTATATTAATAATTAGGGCATATTATTTTCATACTTTCCCGTAATTATGGTGGATATGAAATACATTTTGGAGACCGATATCAAATTGATATCATTGCAGACAACCTTTGAAACTGTTGGCAATACTTTGGGAACATTTGGTAAGATTTAACAAAAAAATAAATTATAAATTATTATATAATATTATATAATAATTAAAAACAAAAATAATAATTATATGTACACATCATTACAAATATAGTTGTACTGACATACAAATGGTTGAACCGGCAGATAGTGATGGCCATTGCCTTTATCATGATGTCTGTCCTATATGCGTGCACACCATTACTGACCAGTTTATGGCAACTATACCTAATTGCCTTTCTGTTTGGTGTCGGCTCCACGGTCAACATCAGTGGCTATATTGTCTGGACTATTGAACTCTGGCAACACCGGAGCGCACCGGTACTACAGTTTAACGCCGTTGGCTTTGGTATTGGCTCTATCATTGTCACAGCAGTTATGTCAATGTATACGACCGGCAACATTGAACCGGACAAACCACTGGTACCGGTAGATGTTAGACGAGATAGATTAACGGTGCCATCAATTGTATTGTGCTCTGTACTAGCAATAGGTATTATAATAATTATTAGTAGTAATTATTAATTTTCATCAATTAATTATTTAATTAATTAATCTATAGTTCCCATTCTATCACTTGTTATATATATTATTAAGCCATACAAAATGCCAGAAAATATTAGTGTTAGTAATGTTTCAGATAATAACAATACAGTTGATAGTAATCGTATGGAAATGGATGAAAACCATAGTCGACAACAACAACATAATCAACAAACAACTGATTTGAAACTGTTTGACGACCCGCGAAGTCCGCGTATATTAATGCGCGTATTATTTACCCTATGGTTTGGCGCTTATACACTATTAGAGACAGTGTTTCTCAAGTTTGCCGTCACTTACTATCAGTATTCACCGCATCGACTGACGGCACCCGAAGCCGGACACATGTATAGCATAGCAACACTAGTCTTCACGGTTTGCAAAGTAGTGAACATTGTGTTAGCCATGTATTTGTCGATCAATACCGTAGTCTATATACATTATACACTACTGGTTGCCGGTATAGTACTGTTAATTTTTGGCCACTGGTATCTAACAGTGCTATGGATGGCCAGTTGTGTACTGATGGCCGGTTGTGCGCCACTTTTTTCATTATCATTTTCATTTACGAGTCAATACCTAACTTTTAGTAATACAATGAGTAATGTTTTCTTATTTTGTAGGGGTTTACTACTATTGATTACACCTTATATTATCGGCCAGTTTATCAATGACTACCCAATGATATTTGTATGGGTTGAGATATTTTATCTGGCTGCAATGTTGATATTGTTTTTAATTATTAACTATCAAATTTATAGATATAAAAAATTATTAACATAATAAATTATAAAACAAAATCAATTATATTTTTCTAAAAATTGACATTTTCTGTATATTTGTCGGCCTAATTGTTTAGATTTTAATTATAAATATATTAAAAAATAATTAGAGATTAAATAATTAAATTTTATTGTTAAAAAAATATTAATAAACATAATAATAATAATATACATTGTTTTTGTTCATCTGATAGAAAATGAGGAACAAACCGACATAAACGCTTCCGTACGCCAATCAAATCAGTGCATATTTTTTAAGTGTTGTGCGATGAATGCCTGACTTTTCCTCTAACTCACGGTATGTGATCCATGGATCTGCTCTTATTATCTTTTCGACAGCGGCCGCATTTTCAGGGGTCGATATAGTAACTTCCGGACCTTTTCTTTCGCCATCTTTGAGTGACTGTACACCGAGTTTGAAATGTCGGATCCATTTGGTGATTGTACTGTAAGCAGGGCTATTATTGCCCAACCTGTCCACCATCCGACGATAAATTTCGTTCGGGTCTTGTGTGGACAAAAACTCATAATAAATTATGACACGTTTGTGTTCCTCCGATAACTCCATTGGTATCACCGAAAAACCTCTGACCAGACCTCTTTAAATGGTTATATCTTATACACGACTAGAGATAATTAGATGAAAATCACAGGTTAAGGGTTTGATATGTAAACAATCAAAACCACGTGTCAACCAATTTTTTATATTATACCGTTTAGGTGGCGCTATCTTCCCAAAAGACAAGCTGTACATACACATAGAATTACTATTATTTTCTGATATTTGCAAATCATTAAATAAATAAAATAAAATAATTTTGAAAAATCAAAAATATTAATTTGTGATTTTTAATGATATTAATAGTAAATTGTTAATATATATATATATATTTTTTAGTTTTTAATGTTATTTTAATTAATGTACAGTAAATATTTAACGATTTTAAATTGTATTATCATAATGAAAGTTAATTTATAAGAGAAAAAACAACAATATATCGTATATTAAACTAAAAATTACTTTTTTTTAAATAAATGTAAGTGTAGTTAAAATGTTTAGCTAAATGGGTGCCAATTCAATCATCTCTCTATATACGGTATAATATACAATATTATAACCGGTATTATAAAATTAGACTAAAAATAAATTATGACATATATATAATTATATATTTGTGTGTATGTGTTTCAAATTGAATTTAAATAATTATAATATTTAGATAATTTAGTCTAACCAATGCCAGTAAGATATTGTAATGATAAAAAAATACTAAAATCAGATTAATATTATTATTTTGTATTTTATATAGTTTATTGCTATTATTAATAGTAATATATTAGATAATAATAATAATAATAATAGCTGTTAAAATTTAATTAATAATGAAATTAACTAAACTATTACAACAATGGGATAAATATTATTATAGTTTTTATATATTTTCAACACAACTATCATTTGTAAGTTAATTTTGTAAATAATTTTAATTTAAAATTAATGAAATATTTTTTTTTGTCAATAATATTAATAATTAGGGCATATTGTTTGCATACTTTCCCGTAATTATGGTGGATATGAAATACATTTTGGATACCGAAATCAAATTGATATCATTGCAGACAACCATTGACACCATTGGCAATACTTTGGGATCATTTGGTAAGTTTTGATCCAAAAAAATATACTAATATTATTAAATGTAAGTTTCTTAGCACTTAGACATAACATTCACATTTATATAACATATATAGTTGGACTAACTTACAAATGGTTGAACCGGCAGATAGTGATGGCCATTGCGTTTATTATGATGTCTGTCCTATACGCGTGCACACCATTACTGACCAGTTTATGGCAACTATACCTAATTGCCTTCCTGTTTGGTGTCGGCTCCACTATCAACGTTAGCGGATATGTTGTCTGGACTATTGAACTCTGGCAACACCGGAGCGCACCGGTACTACAGTTTAACGCCGTTGGCTTTGGTCTGGGCTCTATCATTGCTACAGCAGTTATGTCAATGTATACGACCGGCAACATTGAACCGGACAAACCACTGGTAACGGTTGATGTAAGACGAGACAGATTAACGGTGCCATCAATTGTACTGTGCTCTGTGCTATCGATAGGTATTATTGTTATTTAATTAATTTTTATAATTAATTATTTAATTAATCTATAGTTCCCATTGTTTCACTTGTTGTATATATTATTAAGCCATACAAAATACCAGAAAATAGTAGTGTTAGTGTTAATAATGTCTCAGATAATAATAATAGAGTGGATACTAATCGTATGGAAATGGATGAAATCCATAGTCGACAACAACAACATAATCAACAAACAACTGATTTGAAACTGTTTGACGACCCGCGCAGTCCGCGTATATTAATACGGGTATTGTTTACCCTATGGTTTGGCGCTTATATTCTAATGGAAACAGTGTTTCTCAAGTTTGCCGTCACTTACTATCAGTATTCACCGCATCGACTGACGGCACCCGAAGCCGGACACATGTTTAGCATAGCAACAGTGGTCTTCACGGTTTGCAAAGTAGTGAACATTGTGTTAGCCATGTATTTGTCGATCAATACCGTAGTATCTATACATTATACACTACTGGTTATAGGTATAGTACTGTTAATTTTTGGCCACTGGTATCTAACAGTGCTTTGGGTGGCCAGTTGTGTACTGATGGCCGGTTGTGCGCCACTTTTTTCATTATCATTTTCATTTACGAGTCAATACCTAACTTTTAGTAATACAATGAGCAATGTTTTCCTATTTTGTAGGGGTTTACTAACATTGATTACACCCTATATTATCGGCGAGTTTATCAATGACTACCCTATGATATTTGTATGGGTTGAATTATTTTATCTGGCTGCAATGTTGTTATTATTTTTAGTTATTTACTATCAAATTTATAGATATAAAAAATTATTGACATTATAAACATTATATAAATATATTAAAAAATAATTAGAGATATAAGATATTTATTAATTAAATTTTATTGTTAATAAAAATATTAATAAACATAATAATAATAATATACTGTACATACACATAGAATTTACTAAACAATTAAATAATTAAAAAAAAACTATTATTTTCTAATATTTAAAAATCATAAAATAAATAAAATAAAATAATTTTTAAAAATTGAAAATATCAATTTATATATTTAATGTTATTATTAGTAAATTGTTAATAATTTTTTTTACATTTTAATGTTATTTTAATTAATGTACAGTAAATGTTTAATGAGTTAAATTGTTTTATCATAATGAAAGTTAATTTTTAAGAGAAAAAACAACAATATATCGTATATTGAATTAAAAATTACTTTTTTTTTAAAAATATAAGTGTAGTTAAAATGTTTAGCTAAATGGGTCGCGAATTCAATCATCTTTATTTATATAATATACAGTATAATACATGGACACCGGTATTATGAAATTTGACTAAAAATAAATTAAAGCTTATTATGATTAACTAATTTATTATCACTTATATAATTTAAGTAATTATATATTTGTTTGTATGTGTATGTGTGTGTGTGTGTGTGTGTGTGTGTGTGTGTGTGTTTCAAATTAAATTTAATTAATATTAACATTTAGATAATTTAGTCTAACCAATGCCAGTAAGATATTGTATTTAATACATTAATTAAACAGAATTAATAAACTATTTTTTAATTATAGTTTTGTATTTTATATAGTTTATTGTTATTATTAATAGTAATATATTAGATAATAATAATAATAGCTGTTATTAACATTATAATTTTTTTTTAATTTATGATTTTGTAAAAAATTGGCATTTATAATTGTCGGAGTAATTGTTTAGTTTTTGTTTATAAATATATTAAAAATAATTAGAAATATAAGATATTTATTAATTAAATTTTATTTTAAAAAATAATATTAATAAGCATAATAATACATATACACAGAAATGATGATTAAATAATAATGTACTAAATAATTATTTTCTGATATTTACAAATCATAAAATAAATAAAATATAATTATTTTTTAAAAATCGAAAAATATTAATTTGTATATTTAATGTTATTTTAATTAATGTACAGTAAATGTTTAATGACTAAAAATTGTTTAATCATAATCACAGTTATAAAAGGAAAATATTGTATATTAAATTAATAATAATTTTTATATATAAATATTAGCTAACTGTGTGCCAATACGGTATTATGATATGGACACTGGTACTATAAAATTTGTTTAAAAATAAATTAAAGCTTATTATAACTAACTGTGTTATTATTTACTTAATTATATAGTTGTATGTATGTGTGTGTGTGTATGTGTGTGTGTTTCAAATTTAATTTAAATATTCATAAAATTTTTATGATTTAGTCTAACCAATGCCAGTAAGATATTGTATTTAATACAATACTAAAATCAAATATAACTATTAAAAACCTAAATCGATGGCTATCCCTTTATATTTATATGGGTAGAGATATTTTATCTGGCTGCAATGTTATTATTGTTTTTAATTATTTACTATCAAATTTATAGATATAAAAAATTATTAACATTATAGACTATTTTTTAAAAAAAATTTTTAATTCATGATTTTGTAAAAAAAAACACACAGAAATAGTAATTAAATAGAAATGTATTAAACAATTAAATTATGATAAAAAAAAACAATTATTTTCTGATATTTACTAAACATAAAATAAATATATTAAAATTATTTTTAAAAATCGAAAATATCAATTTATATATTTAATGTTATTATTAGTGAATTGTTAATAATTTTTTTTTTATTTTTTAATGTTATTTTAATTAATGTACAGTAAATGTTAAATGTATTATCATAATGAAAGTTAATTTATAAGAGAAAAAACAACAATATATTGTATATTAAATTAAAAATTACTTTTTAAAATAATATAAGTGTAGTTAAAATGTTTAACTAACTGGGTGTCAATTCAATCAGCTCTCTATATATAATATACAGTACAGTATTATACATGAACACCAGTATTATAAAATTTGCCTAAAAATAAATTAAAGTTTATTACGACTAAATGTGTTATTATGACTTATATAATTTAAGTAATTATATATTTGTATGTGTATGTATGTGTATGTGTGTATGTGTGTATGTATGTATGTGTGTATGTGTGTATGTGTGTGTATGTGTGTTTCAAATTAAATTTAAATATTTATAACATTTAGATAATTTAATCTAACCAATGCCAGTAAGATATTGTAAGGTATTGAAATAATTAATAACAATAATATCTCAGATAATAACAATACAGTTGATAGTAATGGTATGGAAATGGATGAAAACCAGAGTAGACAACAACAACATAATCAACAAACAACTGATTTGAAACTGTTTGACGACCCGCGCAGTCCGCCTTTGATTTTGGATTTTTGAAAAAATTGCCGTTTAAAAATGCAATAAAAATCTTACCCCACCCCCAAGACCACCCCCAAGATTTTTCGAGTATTTTGTAAATTTTACCCCGGTCTACCCCCACCCTAAAATCGAAAACCTTGCTTAACCCTGGTGTAAGACATATGGGAATAATTTAATCTAAACAATAAATAGTTATATGTTTTTACTTAAAAAATATATTTGTTTATATAAAATGTTGTCCACTATTAGAGACAACTGACATTAATTAAAGATTCCCTTCAGTTGAATACATATTTATCTTACTTATAAAACCCAATATATCACTGAATATAGATGCGATAGATAAATAGCACTTCCCGCGCGCTAATTGTTCCCAAATTTGATTTCAGAGTCAAAAGTAACTAATAATAAATCATAATTAATTAGTACCATCATTGCACGGTCAATACCCTCCAAGAAAGTACAGATAATAATTAGGCCTTCCACTGTTGCATCAATACTTAGTCCTCCAGTGGAGTACTAATGCAACAACATATCTGACCTTTGATTGATGACTACCAGAGCAATACGCCTCAACCTAATTGAGTATATAACTTATTGTCAATGAGATCACTGGATCAGATACTTGATTCAATATAAGTGATCCACTCATTTGACATCACTAACTATATTTTAATACTTTATATAATAATTGTTTTACTATTTTAATAAATCATAATCATTGTATTTAATATAATTGTTTAACCCGACTAAATGTTATTGATATTCATTGTATTATAATTCTCTGACTTCTAACCGACACTTCTAACATAATATTAGTTTCATTTCGATGTTGACTCATGTCTTGACTGTTGTCGTTTGTGTGGCCAAAAAAGGTCTCCATTTAAAGACAAATCACTGTTTTCTAACATTTTTAGTAATGAAATGATGAATACTTGTAATATTATCAAAACCATTGACTGACAGGAAGTGGTTATGAATGAAATATTTTATTATCTGAAACATTATTACAATTTTTTATTAAACTTTCTGCATTTGACTTGATATTTAATTCAAAAATAGGTGTCGCTTTACCTAGGTAATACTTATTTTTAATTTTTAAACTTATTAATGTTATTATAATTAATGTACAATAAATGTTTTACGATATAAATTGTTTAATCATAATGATAGGGAATTTATAAGCAAATAAAACAATATATCGTCTATTATATTAAAATAATAATATTATATTTGTGTTATTTATAAATATTAGCTAACTGGGTGCCAATTCAACAGTCTCTACATAATATATAGTATTTGTATCAATGGTATCGATATTATAAAAATTTGCCTAAAAGTAAATTAAAGTTTATTAATTAAATAAAGTTAAATTAAAGTAGACCAAATTTTAATAATCATAACATTTAGATAATTTAGTCTATATATTGTATTTATTGTATAATAATAATAATAATACAATAATAAATTTTCAACGTTTAACGTAGATAATTGTATAATGAAATTAACTAAACTATTACAACAATGGGATAAATATTATTATAGTTTTTATATATTTGCAACACAATTATCATTTGTAAGTTAATTCAGTAAATAATTTTTATTTTAAAATGAATAAAATATTTTTTTTAATTATATTAATAATTAGGGCATATTGTATGCATATTTTCCCGTAATTATGGTGGATATGAAATACATTTTGGATACCGATATCAAACTGATATCATTGCAGACAACGTTTGACACCATTGGCAATATTGTTGGATCATTTGGTAAGTTTTGACGCCAAAAAAATATACTAATATTATATAAATGTAAGATTCTTAACACTTGGACATAACATTTACATTGATTTAACATTGGCGTACACACACACACACACACACATAGTTGGACTAACTTACAAATGGTTGAACCGGCAGTTAGTAATGGCCATTGCGTTTATTATGATGTCTGTCCTATACGCGTGCACACCATTACTGACCAGTTTATGGCAACTATACCTAATTGCCTTCTTGTTTGGTGTCGGCTACACTATTAACGTCAGCGGCTATATTGTCTGGACTATTGAACTATGGAAACACCGTAACTCACCAATATTACAGTTTAACGCAGTTGGCTATGGCCTGGGCACCTACATTGGCACAACAGTAATGTCAATGTATACGATCGGCAACATTGAAGATGACAAACCACTGATGACGGTTAATGACAGACGAGACAGACTAACGGTGCCATCAATTGTATTGTGCTCTGTACTAGAAATAGGTATTATTATTATTATTATCAATACTATTATTATTATTATTAATACTATTAATTAATTCATTATTTATTTAATTATTAAATTAATATATAGTTCCCATTTTATCAATTGTTGCTTATATTATCAAACCATACAAAATACTAGAAATTAGTAATAATAACAGTAATAATGTCTCAGATAATAACAATACAGTTGGTAGTAATGGTATGGAAATGGATGAAAACCATAGTAGACAACAACAACAACAACAACAACAACAACAACATAATCAACAAACAACTGATTTAAAACTGTTTGACGACCCGCGCAGTCCGCGTATATTAATGCGCGTATTGTTTACCCTATGGTATGGCTTTTATATACTCACGCAAACAATGTTTCTCAAGTTTGCTGTCACTTACTATCAGTATTCACCGCATCGACTGACGGCACCCGAAGCCGGACACATGTATAGCATTGCAACGATAGTCTTTACGGTTGGAAAAGTAGTGAACATTGTGTTAGTCATGTATTTGTCAATCAATAAACTAGTCTGCATACACTATACAATAATGGTTGCCGGTATAGTACTGTTAATTTTTGGCCACTGGTATCTAACGGTGCTATGGGTGGCCAGTTGTGTACTGATGGCCGGTTGTGCGCCACTTTTTTCATTATCATATTCATTTACGAGCCAATACCTAACTTTAAGCAATACAATGAGCAATGCTTTCCTATTTTGTAGGGGTTTACTAACACTGATAACACCCTATATTATCGGCGAGTTTATCGATGGCTATCCCTTTATATTTGTATGGACTGAATTATTTTATCTGGCTGCAATGTTGCTATTGTTTTCAATTATTAACTATCAAATTTATAGATATAAAAAATTGTTAACATTATAAATTTTATGATAATAAACTAGAATAATTAAAAAATTAAAAAAAAATTATTATGACTTATATACTGTATATGTGTGTGTTTAACTTATGTGTGTAATGTTTGTGTGAAATTAAATTAAAATAATATTGATACGTGTTTTGATGTATACGTGTTATGATGACGTTGACTCTGTAATTCTGTAAATAATTTTTATTTTAATATTAATAAAATATTTATTTTTTTTTAAATTATATTATTAATTAATGTATATTTTTTAGTGCAGAGCACAATATAATTGACGGCACAATTAGTCTGTCTCGTCTGACATTAAAATATTATATAAATATTATTAATAATATTATTATTAAAATTATTAATTATTAAAAATAAACTTATTAATGTTATTTAAATTAATATAAAATTAATATTTAACAATATAAATTGTTTCAACATAATGAAAATGAATTTATAAGGAAAAAACATAATATAATATTGTATATTATATTAAAAATTATTTAATTAATTTTAAATATCATATTAATGTAATTATAAATATTAGCTAACTGGGTGCCAATTCAATCATCTCTCTACATAATATACGATATTATACATGGAAACCGGTATTATAAATTTAAATATTATTGGCGTACAAACACACACACACACACATAAAGTTGTACTGTCTTACAAATGGCTGAACCGACAGCTAGTAATGGCCATTGCCTTTATCTTGATGTCTGTCCTATACTCGTGCACACCATTACTGACCAGTTTATGGCAACTATACCTATTTGCCTTACTGTTCGGTATCGGCTCCAGTATAAACATCACCGGTTATATTGTCTGGACTATTGAACTCTGACAACAACGTAGTGCACCGGTACTAAAGTTTAATGGCCTGGGCACCATCATTGGCACAGTAGATAAGTCAGTATTTTTAAAATAAGTAGAAATATAAGATATTTATTTTAAAAATTAAATTTTTTTTTGTTAAATAATAGTAATAAGCATAATAATAATTATATAAAAATTTATTATTTATGAATAATCATCAATTACTATAAAATTAAATATTATAAAATTATAAAAAATAACTGATAAAATATTAAGTTTTTTTTAATTTATTATTAAATTATGCTAGATTAAATGTATATTTAAAAAAATATAATTATTATATTCTATATTCTTATTAGAATTTTAATAATAATTTTTTAGAATATCTATAAATTTGATAGTAAATAATTGAAAACAATATCAACATTGCAGCCAGATAAAATATCTCAACCCAAACCAATATCATTGGATAGCCATCGATAAACTCGCCGATAATATAGGGTGTAATCAATGTTAGTAAACCCCTACAAAATAGGAAAACATTGCTCATTGTATTACTCATTGTCAGGTATTTGTCGGTAAATGAAAATGATCCGGCAAACAATGGTGCAAAACCGGCCATCAGTACACAACTGGCCACCCATAGCACCGTCAGATACCAGTACCCAACAATTAACAATACTATACCGGAAACCAGTATTGTATAGTGTATTATAATTACTTTATTGATCGACAAATACATTGACAATACTATGTTGACCATACGGGCCACCGAATAGACAACCGTAGCAATAGTAAACATTTGTCCGGCCACAGGAGCCGTTAGTAGATGCGGTGAATACTGATAGTAAGTGACGGCAAACTTGAGGAACATTGTCTCCAATAGTACATAGGCGCCAAACCATAGGGTAAACAATACGCGCATTAATATACGCGGACTGCGCGGGTCGTCAAACAGTTTCAAATCAGTTGTTTGTTGATTATGTTGTTGTTTTGTATGGCTTTCCTCTATACTATTATTATCATGAGTACTACTGTCGATGTCATTACTGCTCTTATCGGGCACTTTATATGGTTTGATAATATAGACAATTAGCGATCCGATAGGAACTATACATAAAAAAGTGACTTATTATTTATGTATATTATATACTAATAACAATACTGAACCTATTGCTAATATAGCGCAAAGGTAAATGGATGGCACAGTTAGCCTGTCTCGTCTGACATCAACGGGCACCGGTAGTTTGCCCTGTTCAGTTTCACCAGTAGTATAGGAAGACATTACTGCTGTGGCAATAATAGATCCCAGGCCAAAGCCCAGTGCGTTCAACTGTAGTATAGGTGCGCTACGGTGTTGCCACATTTCAATAGCCCATACAATATAGGCACTGACATTAATACTGGAGCCGACACCGAACAGGAAGGCAATTAGGTATAGTTGCCATAGACTGGTCAGTAATGGTGTGCACGCGTATAGGACAGACATCATAATAAAGGCAATGGCCATCACTAGCTGCCGGTTCAACCATTTGTAAGTCAGTCCAACTGTTTGTATATGTGTTTGTTATGAACATACAGTAATGTTTAGCATTTTTAAACATATTAGTTAATAGTATCGATAATTGAAAATTAAATAATATTTTTGTTTATTTTTTTAGATTAAATATTTACCAAATGTTCCCACAGTATAGCCAATTGTGTCAAACGTTGTCTGCAATGATATCAATTTGATTTCGGTATCCAAAATGTATTTCATATCCACCATAATTACGGGAAAATAGGCAAACAATATACCCTTTAATAAATTTTATATTAATTTTTGTTGTTGTATTATAACATTTATTTATAAACTTTTGATTACCAAAATAATTTTACTAACACAAAACAATTATCAGTAAATTAATTTTTTTATGAAAATAAACTAATTTACTTACAAATACCAAGTTTGTTGCAAACAGATATAAACTATAATAATATTTATCCCATTGTTGTAATAGTTTAGTTAATTTCATTTTAATAACAATTATTTATGTTAATTATTTTTAATAAAATGTTTTTGATATTTTTTTTGCAAAAATTATATATATTAATATTTTTTACATTAAAACAATCAAAAATAATAATAAATTTTTATTTATTTATTTATTTATATACTTTTTTTTAATAATAATTTACTGTATTATATAAAATATTATATAAAAAATAGTGTGTATTAAAATAAACAACAATAATAATACTGTAATTACTTTAGTGTATCTAATTATTAATCTTATCATATAAATCGTAAATTTTTATTAAATACTAACAATATTTATTTTGCAATTATTATGTATTAGTTATAATTATATTAGACCAGTTAGTACAGGGTTAAGCAAGGTTTTGGATTTTAGGGGGGGGGTAGACCGGGGTAAAATTTACAAAATTCCCGAAAAATCTTGGGGAGGGGGGTATTGGGTGGGGTAAGATTTTTATTGCATTTTTAAACGGCAATTTTTTCAAAAATCCAAAATCAAAAGGGGGATCACGAGAAAATTCCATAAAAATTGCTTAAGTTCCCGAATATTCCCATGTAAATTTTACCCCCCTACCCACCTCTTACTTAACCCTGCAGTTAGTATTTGGCAAAGTTAAAATAGTTTTTTCGTATGGAACTCATGTGTTTAAATCGAAGTTTTGAAAAACCTGTAATTGCTTTCTTGTTAATATTTAAGTCATTTTTAACTCTTATATTTGAACATTTGTTTAATTGAAGATAAATTGAAAATCTTTATGAATTCTCATATTTTAAATCAAAAGAAATTATGTTAGCAGAAATGACGAGTTATACAAAAATTAATTTTTAAGTACTAAAATAAATTTTTAAAAATTAAAACCTGTGATTTTTTTAAAGTTCGATATCTAATTTTTATGATAAGTAAAAAATCATTTTTTTATTCAATGATTTTAGCATTTTTAAAAATGATTAAAGTCACACATAATTTACCATAATCGAGATTAAAACTAAACTTTCTATTATTTGTTAATGTGAACTCTTAAAAGTTGTCACTTTTTTTATTTTATACAAATATATGCACTAATTTATTTTTTTTAAAAAAATTTAAAAAATTAAAAACAACTTACTGAAAATTTTAACATAAAGTTGACATAAAGAGTTTTTAATAAATAATTCCATTTTCTGATATTGTTTATCAATTATTTAAAGCCATATTTACATATATAAACAACGTTCACTTAAGAATAATAATCAAATTAAAAAATGAATTTAATTGTTTTTAAAACTTAACAATATTTAGTAATAAACATTAAATGTTACTTATATCAAAATTAGTTATATGAGGTATTATATAATTTCAATAAAACTTCATTTTTGTATTTAGAAATTGTGCTAAAGTAATTTATCTGTAAACTACAAAATTTTAAACAAATTTTAGAATTAAAATTGTTTTGATGTTCTGTAGCATATATTGTCAGCAATTATTTTAAATTTAAAGTGTTTATTTTAGATTTTTTGCATTTTGAACCGATTTAGCTAGTTTTAATTTTTTAAAATTACGTCCTAACAATTCTATTTTTTTCAGCTATCTAGTGCATGAAAATAATAAAATTTGCTCAACTACAAAACTAAAATTTTAACAATATTCTTAAGAGATTTAAATTTTATCTTTGGGTGTCTTTAAAACCGTCTTTATTATTGAATACTCTTATATTCTATAATGAAATTTGTTAGTGTAAGTAATAGACTGATAATTAAGCTAGTAAAAATTGTGTAGTTTGAATTTTTAATAATTTGATAGAATAATAAAAAATAAGGTTAAACTTCGATTTTCTAATACGAAAAAACCATTTTAACTTTGCCAATTGCATGCATTTGTATGCATTTTAATGTTAAAACACATAATAAAATAATAATTATTTAGCATTTAGTTAATTAAATTAATTAATATTTTCTAATTAATCTATTACATTATGAATCAGAAAATTTAATTTTTATAAATATATAAACATTTAATAAATATATAAATAAATATTCTTGACTATTTATAATAACAATAAATTTATCATCTATTATTTTTAGTGTATTGTCTCCTAGATAATCAAACTCACTCACTCACTCACTCACTCATTTTAGTAATAAATTTATTTGATAAGTTTGAATATTTGAATGCAAATATTTTTAACCATTTAACAAATTAACTAAACTATTGGGATAAATATAATTATAGTCTAAATAATTTATATTTACATCACAATTATAATTTATAAGTTAATTTATCTGGATGCAATGTGTTGCTATTGTTTTTACAATTATTTATTATAAAATTTATAGATATAAAAAACAATTATTAAATAAATTATTCACATTATTTTTGTCGATAAATATGATTTTCTAAAACAATTGACATTTTTTTTATAATTGTCGACCTAATTGTTAGCTATGAATATATTAAAAATAATTAAAAATATATAAATATTTTATAATATTTATTACATAAATTTTATTATTTAAAAAAATATTAATTAGCAACAACAAAAATAAAAAATAAAAAATAAATTTTAACACAAAAATAATAATTATTATTATTATCAATTACTAGACAATTACTAGAAAATAATAATTTTCTGATATTTATTAATCATTAAATAAATTATACTAAACAATACTAGTGTTGCTGTCAGATAAAATATTTCCACCCAAACCAATATAAAGGGATAGCCATCGATAAACTCACCGATAATATAGGGTGTAATCAGTATTAGTAAACCTCTACAAAACAGGAATATATTACTGATTGTATTGCTAACAGTCAGGTATTGGCTGTTAAATGAAAATGATCCGGCAAACAATGGCGAAAAACCGGCCATCAGTACACAACTGGCCACCCATAGTACCGTCAGGTGCCAGTGGCCAACAATTAACAATACTATACCGGCAACTACTAGTGTATAGTGTATACAGACTACTGTATTAATCGGCAAATACATGGCCAATACAATGTTGACTAGACGTCCGCCTGAATAGAAAATCGTTGCAATGGTAAACATGTGTCCGGCTTCTGGAGCTGTTAGTCGATGCGGTGAATACTGATAGTATGTGACGGCAAAGTAGAGAAACATTGTCTCCAATAGTACATAAGCGCCAAACCATAGGGTAAACAATACCCGTATTAATATACGCGGACTGCGCGGGTCGTCAAACAGTTTCAAATTTTCAGGTTTTTGTTGCTTATGTTGTTGTTTTGTATGGCTCTCCTCTACCCTATTATTATTATCATTATTATTATTACTACTACTGTCGATGTCATTGTTGTCTAAAACCTTACTACTCTTGTCGGGCACTTTGTATGGTTTGATAATATAAACAATTAGCGATCCGATGGGAACTGTTTATTATTATTTTTTGATTAAATATTAAAAAATAAATTTATTATTAATATTAGTATTATTAATATTAGTATTATTAATATATAACATGATATATATTTATTATATCATTAATACAGTAAATTATATGTATTATTATAAACTACAATCTTTTTTGGTAGCTTATTATTTATGTATTATATAAAAATATATTGTATACCGTAATACCGTAATACCGTAATACCGTAATACCGTAATACCGTAATACCGTAATACCGTAATACCGTAATACCGTAATACCGTAATACCGTAATACCGTAATACCGTAATAACAATAATACTGTACCTATTGCTAATATAGCGCATAGATAAATTGACGGCATAGTTAGCCTGTCTCGCCTGACATCAACGGGCACCGGTAGTTTGCCCTGTTCAATGGCACCAGTAGTATAGGAAGACATTACAGCTGCGGCAATATTGGATCCCAGGCCAAAGCCCAGTGCGTTTAACTGTAGTATCGGTGCGCTACGGTGTTGCCACATTTCAATAGTCCATACAATATAGGCACTAACATTAATACTGGAGCCGACGCCGAACAGGAAGGCAATTAGGTATAGTTGCCATAGACTGGTCAGTAATGGCATACAGGCGTATAGGGCTGACATCATGATAAAGGCAGTGCCTATTACTAACTGCCGGTTCAACCATTTGTAAGTCAGTCCAACTGTTTATGTATTTATTCATATTAATTAATGATATTAATTAACAATTAAATTATATTTTTGTTTATTTATTTTTTTTGTTAAATCTTACCAAATGTTCCCAAAGTATAGCCAATGGTGTCAAACGTTGTCTGCAATGATATCAATTTGATTTCGGTATCCAAAATGTATTTCATATCCACCATAATTACGGGAAAATAGCCAAACAATATACCCTTTAATAAATGGATATTTAGTATTATACCATTTAAACATTTGGTTGCAAAATATTTTATTAAATAAAAAAAAATTATTTTTTAGAAAAAATGTATATTTCTTACAAATGTCAAGTTTGCTGTAAACAGATATAAACTATAATAATATTTATCCCATTGTTTTAATAGTTTAGTTAATTTCATCGTACTAATAATTATTTATGTTAATTGCAAATATATTATTTAAAATAAAAGTTCAAAAAAAATTATATTAATATTTTTATATTAATTTAGTTAAAAATTATAATAAAATTATAATAATATATTAATAAAAATTACTTACTAAATTATTAATCTTATCTTATAAATAGTAAATTTTAAAAATTTATTTTGAAATTATTATATTAGTTATATTATATTTTAATGTTAATACACTGTTCAATCAGATAATTTAAATTAAAACATTTAATTATATATATACAAATAAATATTTTTAAATTGATTATTTAATAACAAATAAATCTACTATTTTTAGTTTATTGGCCTCCATAGATAATTAAATATTATTATTTAGAAAAAAAATTAATTTTCTGTCTACTTATCTGGCTAATTATTTTTTAAAAAAAATAATCAAGTACAATTTTGTTTAAAATTATCTATATAACTTTGTCATTGTTTAAAATTTAAATCTATTTAAATTGTTAATCATATATTTGTTATCATCGCCGCTGTTTAACACTCACTCACTCACTCACTCACTCACTCACTCACTCACTCACTCACTCACTCACTCACTCACTCACTCACTCACTCACTCACTCACTCACTCACTCACTCACTCACTCACTCACTCACTCACTCACTCACTCACTCACTCACTCACTCTCCTATTCTTCACACTCACTATTCCTATTTGCCTTCCTGTTCGGCATCGGCTCCAGTATCAATCTAAGCGGTTATATTGTCTGGACTATTGAACTCTGGCAATCACGTAGTGCACCGGTACTACTGTTCAACGCACTGGGTTTCGGTCTGGGATCCATTATTGTTTCATCAGTTATATCTATGTATACGATCGGCAACATTGAACCGGACAAACCACTGGTACCGGTCGATGTCAGGCGAGATAGACTAACGATGCCTTCAATTGTACTGTGCTCTGTGCTAGCGATAGGTATTATTGTTATTTAATTAATTTTTATAATTAATTATTTAATTTGTTTCACTTGTTGTATATATTATTAAGCCATACAAAATACCAGAAAATAGTAGTGTTAGTGTTAATAATGTCTCAGATAATAATAATACAGTGGATACTAATCGTATGGAAATGGATGAAAGTCATAGTCGACAACAACAACATAATCAACAAACAACTGATTTTAAATTGTTTGACGACCCGCACAGTCCGCGTATATTAATGCGCGTATTGTTTACCCTATGGTATGGCTTTTATATACTAACGGAGACAATGTTTATCAAGTTTGCCGTCACTTACTATCAGTATTCACCTCATCGACTACCGGCACCCATTGCTGGACACATGTATACCATTGGAACGGTAGTCTATACGGTGTCCAAAGCAGTCAACATTGTGTTGGCCATGTATTTGTCAATCAACACCGTAGTCTGTATACACTATACAATACTGGTTGTCGGCATAGTATTGTTAATTGTTGGTCACTGGCACCTAACGGTTCTCTGGGTGGCCAGTTGTGTACTGATGGCCGGGTTTGGGCCACTATTTGCCGGATCGTATTCATTTACAGCCCAATATCTAACTTTAAACAATACAATGAGCAATGTTTTACTATTTTCCAGGGTTTACTAACATTGGTTACACCCTATATTATCGGTGAGTTTATCGATGGCTATCCCTTTATATTGGTTTGGGTAGAAATATTTTATATGGCCGTAACGTTGCTATTGTTTTCAATTATTTACTATCAAATTAATAGATATAACAAATTATTATTAAAATAGATAATATATTAAATATATTTTTTTAATATAAAATATTAAATTAATCTAACATATTATATCATTAATAACATTAAATAAACTTAATATTATCTGTTAAAAAAATAGTTTTATTTAATTAATAATTATTATTTTTTGAAAAAAATTATTGTCTTAAACAAAATTTTTAGTTTTTTATTAACAATTTATTATAATTAAAGATAAATAATTTTTTAAACATTTTTATATTTTAACACATTTAGTGATTTATTTATTAATTGAATTTTATAAATTATAATTTCATAATAATTTTTATATTAATTTTTTATACATTTTTTATAATAATCATAATAAAAGCAATGACGTATACAAATTTTAGATACTAAATAATATTTAGATGTTATATTATTTATAAAGGTGTTTCAAATATTAAAATAATCTTTTATAATAATAATAATAATAAAAATAATAACTATTTTAAATAATTTAAATTAGACAATTTACATATATTTATATATACATTTTGTCAACATAAAAAACTTGTTTATATTGTTAAATAGATAATTGATAGAAACTTTTTTAGAAATAGATTTACTGGAATTTTTTTTTAAGTAATAATATTTTTTTTACTAATATAAGATTGGGAATTACTATATGAATAATAATGTATTATTATCATTAATTAATTAACCCATAGTTCCTATCGTATCGCTGATTGTTTATATTATCAAACCATACAAAATGCCAGAAAATAGTAGTAATATCTCAGACAATAACAATGATGTCGATAGTAATGGTATGGAAATGGATGAAAACCACAACAACAACAACATAAGCAAAAAACAACTGATTTGAAACTGTTTGACGACCCGCGCAGTCCACGTATATTAATGCGCGTATTGTTTACCCTATGGTATGGCGCTTATATACTAACGGAAACAATGTTTATCAAGTTTGCCGTCACTTACTATCAGTATTCACCTCATCGACTACCGGCACCCAAAGCTGGACACATGTATACCATTTGAAGGGTAGTCTACTCGGTGTCCAAAACAGTCAACATTGTGTTGGCCATGTATTTGTCAATCAACACTATAGTCTGTATACACTATACAATACTGGTTGTCGGCATAGTATTGTTAATTGTTGGTCACTGGCACCTAACGGTTCTCTGGGTGGCCAGTTGTGTACTGATGGCCGGTTTGGGCCACTATTTGCCGGATCGTATTCATTTACAGCCCAATACCTAACTTTAAACAATACAATGAGCAATATCTTCCTATTTTTCCGGGGTTTACTAACACTGGTTACACCCTATATTATCGGCGAGTTTATCGATGGCTATCCCTTTATATTGGTTTGGGTGGAAATATTTTATATGGCCGTAACGTTGCTATTGTTTTCAATTATTTACTATCAAATTAATAGATATAAAAAATTATTATTAAAATAAATTATATTATAATTAAATAATATATTAAATAAATATTTTTAATATAAAATATTAAATTAATCTAGCATAATCTATAATTAATAAGATTATAAATATACAAATAAATATTGTCAATTTTTATTTTAATAATTTGCTACACCTACAATACTAGTGCTATACAAACTTAGCTAGGTCATATACTGTACATAGATGTACATACAATACTAGTACTGTACACCTGTGTTTAAATGCCGGTATATTTATGTACGGTTTATATATGTTTATGTGTTATATATAGTAAATTGGCATAATTTTATGATATATTTTTAAAAATAATGTAGTTTATAATTATGTTAGTTTTAGTTTTTTTTTTAAATTACTAAAACGTAATTAAAATAAAATATTTTAATGAAAAAAATGTATTGAGTTTTGTGTGTGGTGAAAAAATTAATATATTATAGTAAATTATTATATATTTTTTAATATTAATTTTTCTATGATTAAATAATTAATTAATAATAGTAATTAATAATGATTAAATTATTATTATCACCAGTGTTGTTGTTGTTAGTGTTGTTAACAATTAAAATCAATTTATATGTATCGGTGCCAATAGTAGTAGAAAATTTTCAACATGGTAATTTAATATATTTAATATTTTTAAAGATATTTGTTGAGTTGAAAAATATTAAGTTAATAATAACAATATAATACTAATAATGTAAACTATATTAATATTTTTGTTTTTTAAATTATTTATTATTAATTAATTTTTGTTTTGTGTTACGGTAAGGGACAGACCTATCGTCGCGGGCATCCCAGAGCATCCCTGGGTCATCGCTAACCAATGTTGAACTGAGCGCCTTCCTAACTTGTCTGCCCGGTTCAAAGTTTACAACGATAACCAGTTTTTTGAATTTCAATACCGAAACCACTTGCGATGATGTTTCGCTGATAAATAGCGACACATCGGCTAACGGCACCATTGGCTTCGAGCCCATACAGATACCATTCAGTGCACTGTCACCCTATAATAATAGACAGATCAAAAGCGGTAGGTTATTGTTATTATTACTAATTATTAATAATATTATTAACTACTATTAATATTTACTACTAATTTGTATTTGCTAGAAATAGTATAGCAATAGTAATTTATATTAAAAACTTAACATTTTTTATTTATTTTAATTTAATTTTTTGAAAACTTCATTAATATTAGTATAATATTCATGTTTTACAGTATATACTGTATATATATCTTAATGATATTTATTTTTGTTGGGTATTAAAAAAATTAAGTATTAATAATTAATTATTATTATTAATATTATTAAAAGTTAGTTATAAATCTGATTAGTTTGTAATTTTCATATTTTCTATATATATATATATATATAGATCAGGAGGTAAACGGTACGATAAACTACGGGCGCTGTACGGGCGACAATATGCTTAGCGAACATATAGGTATTGGCGATGCCGGCTCGTGTAATATGGACCGCAAAGTGGCCAGATTGTCGACAATATTTTCGGTAATTCGCATACGTGGCCGCTGCCAATCGTTTTGTACGGGACTGACCACTATTAGACTTAGTCCTAATATTAATTAAAAGTTTGCGGACAGTTATCAAGATTTTGTTTTTGTTTCTCTAAAAGTTATTTAAATTATTTGTAAATATTATTATTATTATTAAATATACTAGAAATTAATTAATATATATGTTTTATTATTATTATTTAACAAAGTAACTCATTTTAATTATCAAATATATATATTTATTTTTATTTTTGGTATAAATTATGAAACAGATGTTGACATAGTTTTTTTGTTAGGAAAAAAAGTTGAAAACAAAATATGTATTAAAAAATAATATAAAAATATCATATAATAATACATATAAATTAGAAAAATTAATGTCACGATAAATATTATTATTATTTAACTAATAAATGTTATTATTATTATTATTATGCTAAATTAAAGAGTGATAATTCATTGGGGGAAATAATAATATGAGATTAAAAATAATGAAAATATTAGTCAATGGTTATTAAAATAATATAATTATTAATAAACAAATTCAAATATATTTTGAAGTGATTTAAATTTTTTTAAAAAAAATAATTGCTTTAAACAACACAAAAAATCGTTAATAAAATATCAACAACAAAAAAAACAATTAAAACATTTACTGTTCAATAGTAGAAACATAATACCGTAAAAAATACTAAATATAAAAATACTGTACAATATTAAAGCTCTTAATCTATTTCATATTGAAAGCTAACTGTCCATTTAGTTAAGTGGCCAAAGTGAGCGGAACAAAAACATTGATTTATTAAGGTATACAGTCTATAGTGCACTGGTAGTCTCTCCCCCAAGTAGCCGATGCTCTTTGACCACAACCGTACACATTAAAGTACTATTTAAGTGACTAACGATGACAGCTACCCATATGACTGGCCAGATGATTGCGACATGTGGTCTTGTATGAACAGTGTTGGCACCGGTACTTATAGTCCGGGTGCCAGTCGTACATATGGCGGGTCAGTGTCGACAAATTAGCTGAACGGTGTTTACATTTACGTATTAGGCATCTGTGTGGTGTCGACTGATTGCCGCCGTCAGCACCACCACCACTATTACCGCCGCCGCCGCCACCGCCAGAACTGCCACCAACACTGCCAGTAGTAGTCTTAAGTTTGGACATCACTGTTGTCCACTGCCATCTAATTCGACGACAATCGTCGTTTGGCGTCTCAGCAACCATTGGCGGCGGCGGCGGCAGTAGCGGCGGTGCCGACTTGCGAACTGATCGGTTCGGTGACTGAGACGACAAGTAGTTCATTAGTTTCATATATTTACTGATAGAATGGTCAACGGCTTTGTGTTGATAGAGTTGTACACTTTTGGTAAATGTTTTGTCGCAATCCTCGTAATTGCATCGAAATTGCTGGTCATTGGACGGCGACGACTGAAAAATAGCGGTCAAATAGTCGCGTCGCCGCCGTTGCGATTGCTTAGGAGTAGTAGTAGTAGTTGTGGTTTCTAAGCTACCGGCAGTATCGGCCGTAACCGGTAGTGATTGGTTAAGCCTCGCATCATCGGCGGCAGTAGTCTCGCTAATAGTGTCGGCAGCAGTGGTCCTCCTTTTTGTCTTATCGATAACTACTCGTCTACGTAGTGTTCGGGTGGTGGCCAATGTAGAGGTAATATTGTTATCGTTGTCGTCGTTGTTGACCACTGGCTCTTGTTGTTGTTTTTCTTCTGTATTTTGATGGTTGTGAACAACTTCTACTTCTTCTTGATTATTATCAGCGACCACTTTGTCATCTGCAGTCAATACCAGCACTTCATGTTGTTGTTGTTGATGATGATGGCTATCACCTGTTAGTTTAAATTACAATATAAACAACAATAACTCTAAACCTCTCTCTCTCTCTCAAGACATGAGTATCAATAAACAAAAGAAAAACAAAATACCAGAATTGATTGAATCTCTGGTAATTTTTCTTCGTTTTCGTTTTATCTTTGCTTTTGTTGTACTACTTCTTCTTCTTCTTCTTCTATTTCTATGACTTTGATTTTTGGTTTCTTTTTCTTTGAGATCCTTATCATGAGATCTAGTGTTGCGACGATTGTCCGTATCATCGATGTCCACATCAACAGTGGTAGTAGTAGTTGCCAATCGGCTATCGTTATCAATGGGCGACTCTTCGTCGGCCACTGTAGTAGTAGTTGTTGTCATTGTTTGGTCAACACTTGCGACAGCGGAACTGCCGTTTGAATCGCTTTCGATGTCAATGATTGCTTGTTTGCTATCAGTCTTTTGTTGATTATCACTGCTGTCATCACCACCACTACCGGTGATGTCTGCGTTGTCAACGACACCATCAATATCGACGTCAATCACTTCCTGTTTGATATCATCATCAGTCTGTTGTTGATTCTGACTGCTGTCATCACCACCACTACCGGTGATGTCTGCGTCGTCAACGACACCATCAATATCGACGTCAATCACTTCCTGTTTGATATCATCATCAGTCTGTTGTTGATTCTGACTGCTGTCATCACCACCACTACCGGTGATGTCTGCGTCGTCAACGACACCATCAATATCGACGTCAATCACTTCTTGTTTGATATCGTCATCAGTCTGTTGTTGACTGTCAACAACAACAACAACTCCATCGCCGCCGCAAATGTTGGTCACTATAATCGCAAAAAAAAATAAATAATGAAAAACATATAATATATATTAGACACTAGTTTTCAATCTATTGATGTGTGTGTGTGTGTGTGTTCACTGACCACCACCGATGCCGCCGCCGTTTAACTGAACTCCCGAATACTCGACACAACTTTCCTCGCACTTGACAACTACCGAATGGCCAATCGTTGTCCGATTGATAGCTACGTCCGTCGCCGCCGCCGCCGCTGCTGTCGAAGACTCGGTAGCAGTCATATAGTAATCATTCAGACGATTGATAATCTGAACGGTGTCTTCGTTGGCCGTACACCGACACCGACGGATCATATGGACGGCATTGTCACGTATATCGTTTAGCAGGCGATTCAGTTGTTGTTCGGCGGCCAACTCGGCCATCAATCGTTCGACTAAGTCGTCAGCCGATAGCTCTTCAAAGACATCGTCATCATTGGTGGCAACGATAGTCTCTGCGGCGGCGGCGGCGGCGGTGTTGTTGTTGACGGCAATGGTGTCATCCATTACGGCCGGTGATTGACATTCACGGAGACTATAAACACTGTTTTTGATTGTTTTGTTTGTAAATATGTTTTATATTATTATTATTGTTAGTATTATTCAATACATATGTGTATTATAATCAGTGTTGGAAAAATACAATGTTTTAAATTTTGATTTTTGTATAATACAGTAAAATACTGAATGTATTTTACAAATTTTAAAACTAATATATATATTATGTTATAAAAATTTACTTTAAAACTAATAAACTGTATATTATGTTAAAAAAATTTACTTTAAAACTAATATATATTATGTTATAAAAATTTACTTTAAAACTAATATATATTATGTTATAAAAATTTACTTTAAAACTAATATATATTATGTTATAAAAATTTACTTTAAAACTAATATATGTTAAAAAATTTACTTTAAAACTAATATATATTATGTTAAAAAAATTTACTTTAAAACTAATATATATTATGTTATAAAAATTTACTTTAAAACTAATATATATTATGTTATAAAAATTTACTTTAAAACTAATATATATGTTACTTTAAAAAAATACTTTAAAATATTTAGTAAAAAATATAATTGATAGAAAATGCATTATTATAATTATAATCGTTTTGTTTCTAAGTTTGTAATAATCAAATAATTTAAAATCATAAAATGAAATTCAATAAAATAAAATAATATTAAATCTATATTTATTATAAAACATGATTTACTTTATGCTTATATCAGTGCTTTTAGCAATAGGTGGCACTAAATTTGTTTTTGTAAACCAAATTGGTCATGTATTTTACATTGTAATATACTGTATGTATTATACAAAAATTTTGTCTCTGCCAACACTGATTATAATGTATTAATTTAATACCGTATTGCCTAACAAATATACTGTGTGTGTGTGTGTGTGTGTGTGTGTGTGTGTGTGTGTGTGTGTGTGTGTGTGTGTGTGTGTGTGTGTGTAAATTTATTATATTAAATATTTTCCTAGTAGTAAATTATGTTGTAAATAAAGTTTTTTTAAATGCAAAATAATTGAAAAATTGTTAATTAGTTAATTGATTTATTTTTTCTTATTTTTTTTAGGTAAAATTGATTTGATATATTGAAAATTTGTCTATAATTTAATTTTATTTGTCATATGTATATATATATATAAAGTGTTAATGTGATTAATTGCTAATTTTTAATTAATTTTTTTATCAAAAAAAAAATTACGCAATTAAATTAAAATTAGGCGGGCAAATTATTTTTACTTTTTTGGGTACATTAAACAATTACATATATAAATAAATATACATGTATATTATTTTACTGGTTATATTGTTTTTTCTTAAAACTTGTAAAGTACACTAAGTTTATACATTGTACTACTGGTATATATATATATATATATATATATATATATTAAATTGTACATAATTGATGGACATATATTTACTTATAATGACTGCTGCAAAAAAAAAACTAAAATATTAAGGATAATATTTAATACTAGTACACACAGTATAGGTAACTATTAGTAACTTTCAAAAAAATATATAAACTTTTTTTTTACCATTTACTTACTATACACAGTATTGAATATTTTATCGCAATTATTGTTATCAACAATATTTAAAAAACACAGTGTAATAGACTGTGTTTTTGTATATGATATATAATATAATAATAATTTATTGCAACAAATATTAATACTGTACTACAACTACATAAACTACACAATACAATACAATACAATTAATTATATTTATTTTTTTTTTAAAAAACATAACAACACTAATACTAATAATAACAATAATATCTGTAATGTTATTATAATAATAATAATAATAATAATAATAATAATAATAATAATAATAATAATAATAATAATATAAAATAACTTTATATTTATTATTAAAATTTTTATTATTATTATTATTATTATATTTTAATACTAGTACGATATCATAGTTTTTATATATTTAATCTACTTTACTGTATACTGTTTAAATTAGTACTGTATACAGTAGTAAACTCTCTCTCTCTCTCTCTCTCTCTCTCTCTCTCTCTCTCTCTCTCTCTCTCTCTCTCTCTCTCTCTCTCTCTCTCTCTCTCTCACTCTCTATAATATACATATAAATATTAGTTACTGTAAGTTATAATAATAATATGTACTGTATATACTGTAATATGTGTGGTGTTATTATCATTGTTGTAATAAAATATATAACACACACACAAACACATTCTACAGTATACTATAGTACTGTATATTAGACTCACAACAACTATAGTAATCACATTTTGCGTGTTTGTGTTTATTAGTACTGTTAGTGTATTATTAATACATTTATTAATAGTATACTGTATTAGTGTTTAATTGTTATAATAATAATACAGTAATAATATTGTAATAAAACTATTGATTTGTTTGTTTGCAATAAAATTTGTAATAATTGTTATAACATTTTTTTCTGGTCTGGTGTGTCGGGTCGTTACAGTTTGCCGACATCGGCGGACAACAAACAGAACTAAAAAATCCCGCCGAGATTTTTGTTGTTGTTGTGGTCATTACTATAGATACCGAACCCACTTTACCGTCTTTTCCGTCCCAACCCTCCCGAAGTTAATGGTATATCACATGCAATAATAACTTGATAATCACTACCAACAAAAAATAATATGACGTCCAACGCTATCGCCGCTGCGGTCAACACTGGCGACCAGTGGTCAGCACTGATGGTAGCCGTAATGGACGACCTCAGGGCCGACAACGAACGATTGCGTAGCGATCTGAATGCTGAACGCGATTTGGTTAACGTTTTGGAAAATATCCGAAACTATTCAATGGTTTTGGTCGACAACTGCCGATGTGTGGATAATGCCGACCTTAAGATGCAAAAGTATCGCAAGTTTAATGCCATCTACGATGATATGAAAGCCGGCCGTCAACAGCAAATGGCTGCCGAAGCTATTCGCCAATCGGTAATCAACTACGGCTACAGCCCGCTGATGGGTTACGGCCGATCTTCGGTCTATAGCGCTGCAGCTGCTGCCGCGTCGACGGCCGCCAACACTACTACAGAGGACACCATTAACGGCAGCGGCGGCGGCGGAGGAGGAGTCGCCGGTGGAGAGATCATTACGGCCGATGACAGGTCCAGTCATATTGCCAACGATCACATGTATTGCGTCGCAACCGCTGATGGTAAGAGATTTTTATAATTGTACACCAATTGATTGATTGATTGTTTGTTGACTCTGTAGCCGATAATATGGTGGCCGTGAATGACGACGACAACGACAATGATCTAAATAGTTATAGTGTGTGTCCACTTTGCAGCCAAATGTTTCGTACGAGTCTTGATCTGAATGTACACATGGATATCGCTCATAACCGCAACAATCAGTTCAACAGTCTTGAGATTATTAATAACAATCAAACTTCAGATACTGGCGATTATCGGCCATTAACACCGATAACACTTACCGCTGCTGTTGCTGCTGCTGTTCAGAGCCCGAACCAGGAGGAGGAGGACGACGAAGAAGCGCCAGAGGAACAGGAGCTCAACAACAACGATAGTAACACTCTCAGCACACGTAGCGGTTGTGGTGGTGGCGATGAGAGTCAGCTAATCAATAATAATATAGAGATGATGATGACCGACGATTCAGCTACCAATCACTCGATAGAGACCACTGACACTACTACTACTACTGAAACACCCGATGCCGCGGCGGCCACTACTGTCTCCGACGACTCAACTATAACCACTTATCTGTGCGAAAAGTGTGCCCGTAGTTTTGTGACCAGCGAAGCACTGGTCAAACATCCGTGTCATGTCCATAGAGTCAAAGTACTGTTAGGTTGTGATTGGTGTCCGTACAAGACGTTCACTGGTAAGGCATTGAAACGCCATAAGACACAGTGTTTGTCGAAACCGATGCCGAAGCCGACAAAAGAGCCGCTCAAAAGAAGGTCCGCTGCCGTCGCCAATCAAAGCTTAATAACCACTAAACGCTTGACCACCAAAACAGTGGACAATCAAAGTATGTGTTAATATCACATATATATATATACTGATCCCAAGATTCTGTTGTTATTATAATTGTTTTTTTCTTCTCTTCTTATTAATAGACAATTACCTCTCGAATCTACAATTAAAACCAAAAAAAGTCAGAAAAAGTACCAATGATTTGGTGGTCAGCAGTCAGTCGCCAAATAGACGCCGTCTGCGCGACAACAGAGACGCCATCAACACTACTCCAACATCTCCTGAACGACGATCATCACCGAGAAGAAGACATAGTTCATCGACCACTAAGACATCGTCGTCGTCGTTGTCATCATTGCCTATTGTGGCCAACTTGCGGGCAAACAATAGAGAAAACTTGGAGAATACAGTCACCGGCGGCAGCAATAATCCGGTGGTCGCTAATGGCGTTGTCGTTGTCAGCGATAGAAGACATCATCATAATCATCATCACTTGAATCATCATAAAAACAACTTGAAGTCATTATCGTCATCAAAGATGAGCCGCCATTTAGCTGGCAGTGGTGTCCGATATTCTAATCAAAAGTCATTAAACAAGAAGACGACGACGTCGTCGTCATCAACCGTCGCCACAACTGTTGCCAACATTCAACGGACGTCCACTAAAACTGTTCCGCACAACAACAACAACAACAACAGTGTGTCCACTATCGCTGCCGACGACGACGATCATCGATGCCATGTCTGTCGATGTCTGTTTCCCACTGAAATGAAACTATTGAATCACTTATCATATAAACATCATATCCTATCGTTCGAGTGCCAGATCTGCGACTACAAGACAAACAAGAAGTTCTATTTGGAACGCCATATGAGTATACATACCACTGATAAGCCCTACCAGTGCGACGAATGTGATAAATGGTTCAAAACGCGAAGCATTTTATTGACACACAAACGTCAGACACATTCGCCACAGAAGCGCTTCTCATGCGATCTGTGCGACTATAAGACATCGAATAAGAATAGTCTGACTAACCATCGATCGAGACATTCAACGTCGAAGCCGTTTATCTGCGAAATCGACGGCTGCGGTAAAGGATTCAAAACCAGTATATGTCTCTATCAGCATAAAAGTGTTGTCCATTCGGACGCCACTTATGTCTGTGAATACGATGGTTGCAATCGTCTGTATAACTGTAGGAAAGCCCTACTGCAGCACCAGTCCATTCATAATGTTGATGTTCCCTATCTGTGCGGTATTCAAGGCTGTATCAAAACATTCAAAGAAAAACGATCGCTTAAGAGACACCAGAATACTATACACGCCAGAGATGGTGACGACGATGACTACGATAATGATGATGAAGACTGAAGATATAGGTACTGCTGAGCCGACAATGGTATCACTGACCTAACATCTAACGTGTCGTTCCTCACTAAATGTCATTTTTGTTGTTGTATTTTTCACTAATAATAATATCTGTAATAATAATTGAAAATAGTTTTTCAAAATAGTAATTAATATGTTTTTTAATGTGTTAAAAGATATTTTTTATACAAAAAAAATTGTTTAAATTTGCTTATAATTATTATTAAAAAAAAATTGTTGATTTTTAAACAAACTTTTTGTTGTTGTAATTTAAATTATAATTATTACTGTATTTTTTTCTCTTTATTTATATTTATTATTATTATTAGAAATTAAAACTTTAATATTAAAGATATTGCAAACTATATTTAAGTTTTTAAAAAAATATGTAATAAATAAATTGTTTAAAATAAATTGCATGCAATTTATTAAACAATAATATCAATAATAATGTAAATTATTAATAATTAGTATACAGTTTTCTGTATTATATTAATATATTTTATATAAAAAAAATAATAATATTTTTGATATAAATTAAATTTTTATAATTTAAATTATCAATTGTATTTATAAAATAGCAATCAAAAATAATAATAATAATAATAAAGTAAAATCAAAAATAAAATAAGTTACTTAATGTATTAATTAAATTATTATTTAATTATTTTTTTAAAAAAATTTATTTTAACAATTCAAAAATAATAAAAATTTTAAAACTACTGTATAATATTATTTTAATATTTAAAAAAAACTTAAAATAAAAAAAAAATAATAATAATAATGACGTAATTTATTGTAAATAAAAATAATAGTAATTTTTTTTGTGTATACAGTGTTTCACACAATTTTTTATTTTATTTTTTTTTGGGTACACTCTGTACTTAAACAACAATAACATTGCAATTGAATATATCATACAATGTATAGTAACAAACAAAACAAATAATTGAATTAATAAACTAATTATTATATTATATAATAATAATTATTATTATAACAAATATTATTACTATATATATATATATATGATAACTAGTGGTCACTAAAAAATTATAAATAGTTATAATAATAATAATAATAATAATAATAATATCTAATCACGTGATACTTGACTTTCCGTTTACCGATATCTCGCGGTTGGGTTTTTCAGTGGCCATCGATCGACAACATCGGTGACTAAGCGATATGACTAGCGGCGACCAATTACTGGCCAATTCGCTACTGTTTGACGAACTACGGGACGAAAACAAACGATTGGCTACCGAACTGACCTACGAGCGGCAGTTGACGGAAGTACTGGATCAGATACGGGGCCAATGTTTGGCGTTGGCCTCGCAATGCAAATGCGAGGCCAATCATCAGTCGATTCAGGCGATCACACACTTTAACAGTATATACGGCGAACTTAAACGATCGTCGGCCTTGTTATTGGCCAACAATGGCGGCGGTGGCCACCAGTCGATGGCCGCTGGCGGTAGCAATAATAATAATCCCAGTAAGCGTACCACTGATTTGATTGACCAGTCATTTGGTCTATAATATTGTCTATAATTTTTGTTGTCTTGAATTTTTCAGTCAGTCTTCGTGGAGAAGTCGTATTGAATGGTCTGAACACTGGCGTCGGTGAGATTGAAGACCGCAGCCTAAGACAGATTGTCGACCAATTGAAACTGCAAAAAGATAATATCAGTGCCGGCAGTAGCGGTCATAATCATCATCATAACCATAACCATCACAGTCATCATCATCACAGCCAAAACCAGTCAACCAGTAGTAGTAAGCCGACGGTACAGTCGTACGTTTGTAACGATTGTCAGCACGTATTCAATACAAGGGATCAGCTGTTAACTCATTTGATGAAAGCGCACAAAAGTATTAAATCGGTTTACGGCTGCAATCTGTGCGACTATAAGACCAGCCGTCGGCCGAACCTAATGCGACATAAGCTGATACATACGTCAATGAAGCCGTTTGTCTGTACGGTCAACGACTGTAACAAACGATTCAAGACTAACAGCAGTCTTAATCACCATAAACGACAAGTTCATTGCGGATCAGATAAGACGGCATCACAGCAACAACAGGATCAACAACACCAGCAACAAGATTGCCAACAACAACAGCAACTACAACTACATCAGGGAGTGTACGGCACCGGCAGTATGGACAGTAGTGATCATATGTCGGCGACAGCTGATGGCCAATCGTACAGTAAGCAAGTATTTTCGTGCGATCTATGCGACTATAAAACCGACAACAAATGGAATCTATTGTCCCATAAATCGGGCCATTCGGACGACAAACCGTTTAGCTGTACCGACAAAGATTGTGGCCAGAATTTTGAAACCGAATACCTACTACTGGCCCACAAACAACAGGTACACTCAGCCTATAAACAATACTATTGCCAGTCGTGCGACTATCGTACGGGTCTCGAAGCCAATCTGATTCAACATAAAATACAGGTTCACTCACAACAGGGATCGGATCTCAAATGCGATCCATTGATGTTCGGCTGCGATGTCTGCGCCTACAAGACATCGCGCAAACCGAATCTAATCCGACACAAGATGTCCCACTCGAATATGAAACCCTATGTCTGTAGTGTTATCCGGTGTTATAAACGATTCAAAAGTACCGAAAGTCTTCGTCAGCATAAAATATTTCATACGTTTTCGTCGGAAACAATGGACGACATTTAATTCCTGGGGGTGCGGAGGGAGAGGGATGGATGACGAGTACAGAGAAGACATTGCCCCACCTCTTACACCTCCCGGAGTTCATCCATCTATTGATGATTATCTTATGTCTGTTTGTTTGTGTGTGAGTGTGTGTGTATGTGTTTGCTGTGTGTGTGTGTCTATCTATCAACTCCTACTATACATTATAATATTAATAATACTAATACTAACTATTACTTAGTTTATAGAAATTATATACTCATTTTTGAATCATTATTATCGTAATATTATTATTATGAATTAACTAACTAACTATTAGATAATTATCACTGTATTACAATTAATTAATGTAAATTAGCTGTAAATTGTTTATTTTTATACATTTTTTCAGATACTATGTATGTATATATATATAAATTATTATATAATTTATATAATTTTCAGTATATTTCAAATTCATTGATTGATGTATTATAATAATACATTGAGTTTTTCATTTTGTTAAACATTTCAGTCTAACTCTTAATTTTTTTTTTAGTTTATTTAGTTATAGTAACACATAATACCGTAAATGTATTGTTTTTTGATAATATAAATTAAAACTAATTTATTTCTAACTTATATTTTGATGATTATCTATAATTGTTTCAAGCATATTGATTATGATTATTGATTTTTTAAATTTATATTTTTTAAAAAAATTGACCAAACAATTATTTATGTGAGAAAATATGGGTAAATTTTATTTTTTAAAATCTAATATAATAAATTAATTCAATAATTAGTTATTTATTTTATTTATTATTAAAAAAAAACCTAATATCCTATTTAATTAATATCGATGACACATGTTTTGTAAAAAAAAATTAATTAAAAATATACTGTAGTTATAGTAATAATAATAATTAATTAACATATGTTTTTATTCCTACTATAAAATAGTTGAATTTTAATTAATTTTTTATATTAATAATAATTTGTGACATTTTTATTTATTATTTTTTATAAAAATGATAGATACAATACATTATTGATTTTACTATATTATGTTATTGTACAACTATTTTTTTGAATTTAAAAATAATAACAATTTGATACATAAAATGTTATAAAAATATATATATATTTACAACACAAAAAAACATTTAACAAATAAAATTCAATCAATACATTAGTATATTATTTATTAAATATGAGTTATAATTTTGATTGTTTTTTTTATGAAAAATAACATTTTATATTATTTGATGAATTTTTTGTATTTGTGAATATTGCAATGTATTATACGCAAACACACACACATATATTAATAAATAATTTTTAAAACTATTTTTTAAAAATTTGAAAATAAAATTTGACAATTAATTAATTTGAACTTGTTAAAAAAATTTGTTTGCACAAATTATGAATATCTATATAGTTTTCAATATCATCATCATTATTATTATTTGTAAGTATTAATTTATTATACAATTTTACAGTACATTATTATATGTTTTTTTTAAAAATTATTTAAATATTAATACCTAAAAAATAATTTTTTTTTGTGTCCAGATCAATTATGCACTATTTATTCTAGAGGTAAAAACAATATATTTATTAGTTGTTAATCGCAATTATATTTATTGTATTGAATTTTTAAAAATAAAATAATTAAAAAAAATAAATTATATAAATATTTTATAATAATTTATTTTCTAATTATTATAATTTATTTGTCTAATTATTATAATTTATTTACTAATTATTATAATTTATTTGTCTAATTATTATAATTTATTTTCTAATTATTATAATTTATTTTCTAATTATTATAATTTATTTGTCTAATTATTATAATAATTTATTTATTTAAATAGATATAGTTGAAAATACAATAGAAATCTACGATAACTGTACCAATATATTTAGTAAACCTGAATTGATAGCCGTTATGCTTAGTGGACAGTCATATGTACCAAATAAAACATGCGATCCATTGATACAGTCGACACCACGTCTAAGACAACTTAACTATCAGATACACTTGAAATCGCAACTAATTATCAATCAGACAATTACGGCTACAACATTGTCAGCAATTAAAAATGGTATTTTTTATTTTTTTTTAAATAAATAATTATATTAATGCTAAAAAACTGCAGATTATTTATTAATGATGGACAGGGCCAACATAACTACCGGTCCACTGGCCGGGTATACCTATTTTGGTGTCCGATATTTTAATAATACCGATTTCTATCAATGCAATCGTGAACCGGGTCTGAAAAACTTGCGCCAAGTATACAGTATGCTGTACTTTGTACGCCATAGTCTAGGTCTGGCCATTTGCTGGGGATCGGGATTGACTAAGTTTCATCCGGGCATACTGTTCGGCTATGCCGATGCTCTAGACTCCATGAGCTGGTTCGAGTCGGGCAAACAATTGGCCATGGATTTTTTGCCCTATCTATACTATTCAATATAGATATAAATATATAATTTAGCATACATAAATTATAATATTATATTATTTAAATTTATTTATTTATTGTTATATAGGTTTTAGTATATATTATTATTATTAATAATTAATTAATTAATTAATTAAATTCTACTGTGCAGTTAATAAAGAAAATAATTAGAATTTATAATAAACTATTTAATTAAATTTTTATTAATTTACAATTTTAATTTCATTGATATGATAATTAGTAGTTTGAAATTGTTATCAATTATCTATTAAATACCGTATATAATAACAATAGTGCAAACATAATTTCAATAGATATGAATATCTAATAATTACTAATTACTAACTATTATTTATTATTTAATAAATTATATTTTATATTATAAGTAATGGTAACTGCTTTTACCTTTTTTAAAAAAAATTATTATTATTTAATTAAAATTGAAAATTATGTATATGAAGGTTTAGTTTTATTAAATAAGTTTTTTTTGAATAATAATTAATTGTTTTTATTGTATCATGATAACTTGCATTTTTATAATAATGTTTAATATAATAATATAAATTTTTAATATGTATAGTATAAATATTAGTGTAAATAAATAGTGTATTTTATTTTTTACTGTAAATTCAACTTGTTAAATTTATACCAGTCAATTAAATAAAATAAAACAAAATTATTATTATTATTATGAATATTAATATAAGTTTCTATATTATTGTTAACATTTTTATGTGTATGTAATGTACAAATTATTTTTAAAAGATATATTAATTAATTTTTTAAAAAAAATCTTATTATCCAGATCAAATATGCACAATTTGTTCTAGAGGTAAATTTTAGTTATTTTTTAAAAAAAGTTAGAAATAAAGTTATAATTTATTATTTTTTTTAAAAATTATTTATAAAACAAAATTAATTGTGAATTTAATTTTTTTTAAAAAAATTGTTGTTTATATTAGAAACTGTTGAAAATACAATAGAAATCTACGATAAATGTAGAAATATATTCAATAAACCAGAGATACTGGATGTTAGACGAAGTGGACAGACCTATTCAACTAATAAAACATGCGATCCATTGGTACAGTCGACACCCCGACTACGGCCTGTGACCTATCAGTTACACCTGAAACCCGACTTAATTGTCAATCAGACTATCAATGCTACGACTACGGCATCAATTGAAAACGGTATTTATATAGTTATTATTGATTTTTTTTATTTTTTAAAAACAATAATAATAATTATCTAGGTCAATTAGTAATGATGGATAGGGCCAACATAACTACCGGTCCGCTAGCCGGTTATACCTATTTTGCTGTTAGATATTTCCGCAACAATGACTTTATTAGGTGTAACCGTTTACCAGGACTCGAACGGTTGCCACTACTCCATAGTATGTTGTATTTTGTACACAAAAACATCGGTCTATCCATGTGCTGGGGTTCGGGATTCAACAAGTTTCAACCGGGCATACTGTTTAGTTATGCTGAACATTGACCGTCTCTGCCCACCCCCCCCCACCCCACCCCAAAAAACATAATTAAACTACATAAGCTGGGTAGTACAAACAAAAAATTATCATGGACACTTTTCTATTAAAATTAATTTAAATTTTAGTTTTAATTTAAAGTTAAAATAATTTTTAAACAATTTGATATTTTATTATTGCTATTCCTGTAATAATACTGTATATTAAAATTGTACAATGGTAACTTTTTTATTTTCTATAATTTAATTTATTACGATATAATAAAAAGTAATTAAATTTAAATAATCAATTTAGTTATTTATTTTATTTATTTATTTTATTTATTTATTTAACAAAAAAATAATTCTATAAATCAGGAACTTAAACAAAATTGTCATATATTTTGTAATAACATATTTATGTTATACAAAATTAAAATCAAATCAATAAACTATTAGTTTATTTTTTTTGTTGTTATTAAAAAAACACATGATTTTTATTAATAATTATTTCTTAACTTTTTTTGTTGTTGGTTTATTGTATTTTTATATATTATTAATGAATAGAAAACCTTTTAAATGTACCCCGGTAACTGTAAAATATTGTAAATCAAACAAAATTAAATGTAACAATCAATCAATTATTTAATATATATATAAAAATTTATTATTTACTGTACATATACAGTAAATATACACATAATAAGTTATAATGTATTGTACTGTACAGGTATTAAACAAACAATAACAAGCAATTTATAATATATTTTTAAAAGTAATGACTTTTATTGTATTACTACTAAATAAAACGATTTCATACACATATTTTTTTGCCTAATATTTTGTTTTTTTTATTTTACTTTAATTTATTGGTTTTATAATTTGTTTTTTTTGAAACTATAATTTTTCATGTTTAAATAAAATACATGTACATACAAATTATTAACGAAAATGTTAACATATTTTTTTGGAAATATTTTCAAAATATTTAATATTTTATTCAAGTTGACAATTATAGTAATATACAAAAATATTAATTAATTAATTAAGTAAATAATTTTTTAATATATATATATTGATATAACATGAAGTATAATGAAATCAGTTAAATATAATCCGATTTCGACATTTTGTATGTATTTTAATCAATCTGATGGCCAGTTAGATCAATATATGCCGGACTCGCTTAATATTGCAATCTATCCGGATAAAGTAATCCTAAATTTTATAATTAAAAAAAAATTTAATAATAATAATAATAATTAAAATTGATTATATTATTTAATATATATATACTGTATATAAACCTCAATAGATTAGAAAACATGGCCAATATTTAATAATGGTTTGCGATAAATATCGATACGTTCACGATATTATTAAACATGTATTAAAAATTAGGTAATAATAATAATAATACAGTATTATTATAAAACTTAAATATAATAAAATTAATTAATAAGCAATTGTGTTTATCATAATTGAAGTTATGCTTATTATTTGTTTTAATTTTACATTTTAAATAAATTTAGGCTAAACTATGTTGTAATAAATGCTAGTCATGTCTATTACGGTAATTCTATCAATTGGACGGGTGGTCTGGCAATGCTAGTAAATAATGTAATTATAATTAAATTGATTTATTATTTAAAAAAACAATATTTAACATCAATATTAGTCATCTATTTTTAAAAAATTAATTATCAATATATATATACTGTATATAGAAAGCAGACATAATATCGGCCGAGTATCAGATGGACACCACTAGGGAAACAATGATAGACTTCGGCTATATTACGCCCGACCACAACCCGATGTCCATAATATCGGCATCAAAACAGTTGGCCAACGATAACATGTTTACCGTATTGAACGTATTTCAGCCAAATATTTGGCTACTATTGTTACTATCGTTGATCGCCATAACTATGATCAATGCCATAGTAAAAGCCCAGTGTTTACATCAAACAATTGATCTAATGTTTATCTATTATAAAATTATATTGCAACAAGGTAATCTATGTTTTTTTCTTAATTATAAAATTTTCATTTTACTAAATTTAACTGTTTATCTCTTTTTAAAAAATTTATTTTATATAATTACTTATTTTAAGCAATAATTTTACGATCATATCATTGGAGACCATTGCTGGCCATTTGGTTTTTCTCGACAATACTGATTAACATCTATTTTTCATCTGATTTACGATCAATGATGACATTGAAAGTCAATGACCGAATCGATACGTTAGACGATGTCATACAACGGGAAGATATGAAAGTTATGGCCGAAAACAATACCTACGAACTGAAACAATTGTACGATAATGAGGTAAATGTTATATTTAAAAAAATAGTTTTTAGTGAAAAAAAATATATACAGTATTTATAAATAATATTATATTTTAAACCACTCTAACACTCACCCACTCAAACGTATAGTTTTTAGTCAACCACCGTATCGTAACCCTTGGCCTACACCAAGTGTACAGCTATTGGACAATCAATAAGATTGTTAACAATAATCATGTATTGATTACCAATCATCGGACAGCCCTACGTATTAGACACTATTACTATCAGTATAGGCTCCGGGAGAGTGGCAACGATTATCGGCCTGTTATGTATGGTTTTCCGCTGAGGAAAGGACTAAACGATAGTATCAAATGTCAACTATATTATGTGTAATAATAATAATTAATGTTTTTTTGTATTAAACAGAATATTCTTTAATTATGATTAATATTTATTTTTTTTTTAAAATAAAATAGTTTCAAAACTCTACACCAATTCGGTATATATAGCTATCAGAGTAAGCGATACATCAAATTTCATGACTTTTTGTCACAACTATTAAAACAGCCGATACTTATGGGCAAACCGGCTACCAATAGACTGTTATTATTAATACGAAAAAAGCGGCCAAAATATGGTCGCAAAATGACCGACGGTTTCAAATTGAAAAACTTTTATTTTGCATTCATTGAACTAATATTTGCTAATATATTGTCGTCTATTAGTTTTTTAATTGAACTGATAATCAAATATATTATTATTCAATTTTTTATATCATAAATAATTATTTTTACTAAAAAAACAAAAAATTCTATTATATATAATTGTAAACAAAAATAATTAATAAACTTTATTATTAATACTTAATTTGATAGATTTTTTTACAAAACAAACAAATTCAAACATTTTAATTTAATGATTGCCAATTTAGATACCCGTTCGTAAATATAATAAAAACTTATATATATATACTATGTAATGGTGATACTTATGCCTAGATATCCAGGGTCAGGGATGACCACCAGGGTGCAATTATGTATTTATTTATTTATTAATAATACTGTACCATAACTATGCAATAATTATTTTTATATTGTTAATTTTTACTATACAACAGTTTATAATACTGTACATAATAACAGTAAATAAATGTTAAAAAAATAGACGTAAATTTTAAGAAAAATCTTATTTATTCAGAACTGTTTGTAATTTATAATAAATTTAATAATTTTTTATATCTATAAATTTGATAATAGATAATAAAAAACAATAGCAACATTGCAGCCAGATAAAATATCTCAATCCATACAAATATAAAGGGATAGCCATCGATAAACTCACCGATAATATAGGGTGTAATCAATAGTAGTAAACCCCTACTAAATTGGAAAACATTACTCATTGTATTACTAAAAGTTAGGTATTGACTCGTAAACGAAACTGATAATGGAAAAAGTGGCGCACAACCGGCCATCAGTACACAACTGGCCACCCATAGCACTGTTAGATACCAGTGGCCAACAATTAACAATACTATACCTACAACCACTAGTGTATAGTGTATACAGACTACGGTATTGATCGACAAATACATGGCTAACACAATGTTCACTACTTCGCCAACCGAGTAGACCACTGTTGCAATACTATACATGTGTCCGGCTTCGGGTGCCGTCAGTCGATGCGGTGAATACTGATAGTAAGTGACGGCAAACTTGAGAAACATTGTCTCCATTAGTATATAAGCGCCAAACCATAGGGTAAACAATACGCGCATTAATATACGCGGACTGCGCGGGTCGTCAAACAGTTTCAAATCAGTTGTTTGTTGGTTATGTTGTTGTTGTTGTCGACTATGATTTTCATCCATTTCCATAAGATTACTATCAACTGTATTGTTATTATCAGAGAAATTATTACTAACACTACTATTTTCTGGTATTTTGTATGGCTTAATAATATAAACAACAAGCGATACAATGGGAACTATAGAGAAATTAAATAAATAAATAAATAAATAAAATAATTAATTAATTATACAATTAAATGAATAAATAAATAATAATACCTATTGTTAGTACAGAGCACAGTACAATTGATGGCACCGTTAGCCTGTCTTGTCTGACATCAACCGGCACCAGTGGTTTTCCCGGTTCAATGTTGCCGGTCGTATACATTGACATAACGGTTGTGCCAATAAAGGTACCCAGACCAAAGCCCAATGCGTTAAACTGTAATACCGGTGCACTACGATGTTGCCAGAGTTCAATAGTCCAGACAATATAGGCGCTGATGTTGACAGTCGAGCCGACACCGAACAAGAAGGCAATTACGTATAGTTGCCATAAACTGGTCAGTAATGGTGTGCACGCGTATAGGACAGACATCATAATAAAGGCAATGGCCATCACTATCTGCCGGTTTAACCATTTGTAAGTTAGTCCAACTACAGTATAATTGTAATTATGTGTACATATAATTATAATTCTAGTTAACAATTATTATATAATATTAAATAATAATTTATTATTTATTTTTTTGGTCAAAACTTACCAAATGTTCCCACAGTATTGCCAATAGTTTCAAACGTTGTCTGCAATGATATCAATTTGATATCGGTATCCAAAATGTATTTCATATCCACCATAATTACGGGAAAGTATGCAAACAATATGCCCTAATTATTAATATAATATTTAAAATTATATTTATTAATTTTGAAATAAATATTATTTACAGAATTAACTTACAATTGATATTTGTGTTGCAAATATATATAAACTATAATAATATTTATCCCATTGTTGTAATAGTTTAGTTAATTTCATTATTTATTAATTGTAACTGCTTTTATTTTTTATTATTATTATTATTATCTAATATATTACTATTAATAACAATTACTTAAATTACATTAGTCATAATAATACAGTCAGTTATAATAAGCTTTAATTAATTTTTTAGTCAAATTTTCAAGTACTGGTGTACATGTTTAATATCATATACTATGTAGAGAGATGCTTGAATTGGCACACAATAAGTTAATACAGTATTTATTAATAAAAAATTATTTTTAATTTAATATATTGTTGTATTTTCTAATAATAAATTGACTTCCATTATGATTAAACAATTTAATCATTAAAACATTTACTGTACATTAATTAAAATAACATTAAAAAGCATTAAAAAATTTATTAACAATTTACTATTAATAACATTAAAAATCACAAATTAATATTCTCGATTTTTAAAAATAATTTTATTTTATTTATTTTATGATTTGTAAATATTAGAAAATAATGAGGTTTTTTCATAATTTAATTGTTTAGTAGATTTTTATTTAATCACTATTTTTGTATATTATTATTATGCATATTAATATTTTTTATCAATAAAATTTAATTAGTAAATATCTAATATTTCTTTTAATATATTTATATATTAGATTAATATATTTATACTTTAATGCTAAACAATAAGGCCTATAATTATAAATAGAATTAAATTAGAAATTAGAAATAAATATTTAAAAAAATGATATATTTTATTTTATAATTTATATTAAATATATATATAGATAAAAGCTAAATAAGTATAAATGCAATATTTTAGAAAATCTTATTTATTTAAAACTGTTTAAACTATTTATAATGTTAATAATTTTTTTATATTTATAAATTTGATAGTAAATTATTAAAAACAATATCAACATTACAGCCAGATAAAATATTTCAATCCATACAAATATCATTGGGTAGTCATTGATAAACTGACCGATAATATAGGGTGTAATCAATGTTAGTAAACCCCTACAAAATAGGAAAACATTGCTCATTGTATTACTAAAAGTTAGGTATTGACTCGTAAATGCAAATGATAATGGAAAAAGTGGCGCATAACCGGCCATCAGTACACAACTGGCCACCCATAGGACTGTTAGATACCAGTGGCCAAAAATTAACAGTACTATACCGGCAACAACTAGTGTATAGTGTATACAAACTACGGCATTGATCGACAAATACATGGCTAACACAATGTTCACTACTTCGCCAACCGAGAAGACCACTGTTGCAATAGTATACATGTGTCCGGCTTCGGGTGCCGTCAGTCGATGCGGTGAATACTGATAGTAAGTGATGGCAAACTTGAGAAACATTGTCTCCATTAGTATATAAGCGCCAAACCATAAGGTAAACAATACGCGCATTAATCGCGCGGGTCGTCAAACAGTTTCAAATTATTATTTTGTTGATTATGTTGTTGTTGTCTACTATGGTTTTCATCCATTTCCATAAAATTACTATCAACTGTATTGTTATTTTCTGGCATTTTATATGGCTTAATAATATAAACAAAAAGTGATAGAATGGGAACTATACATTAATTAAATAATTAATTTAATTATTAAAATTTATAATTAACTAACTAATAATAATACCTATTTCTAGTACAGAACATAATACAATTGATGGCATCCTTAGTTTGTCTCGCCTGACATAAACCGGTACCAATTGTTTGCCCGGTTCATTGTTGCCGGTCGTATACATTGACATAACTGCTGTGGCAATGATAGAGCCCAGACCAAAGCCAACTGCGTTAAACTGTAATACCGGTGCGCTCCGGTGTTGCCAGAGTTCATTAGTCCAGACAACATAGCCGCTAACGTTGATAGTGGAGCCGACACCAAACAGGAAGGCAATTACGTATAGTTGCCATAAACTGGTCAGTAATGGTGTGCACGCGTATAGGACAGACATCATAATAAAAGCAATAGCCATCACTATTTGCCGGTTCAACCATTTGTAAGTTAGTCCAACTATATACAGTATCAGGGTTAAGCAAGGTTTTGGATTTTAGGGGGGGGGGGGGGTAGACCGGGGTAAAATTTACAAAATTCTCGAAAAATCTTTGGGGGGGGGGGGGTATTGGGTGGGGTAAGATTTTTATTGCATTTTTAAACGGCAATTTTTTCAAAAATCCAAAATCAAGGGGGGGTCAAGAGAAAATTCCCAAAAAATTCCTTAAGTTCCCGAATATTCCCATGTAAATTCAATAAAATTCCCATAAGTTCCCGTATAAGTTCCCAGAAAAATAGGTAGTTTCCAAAAATATAAAAAAAACTTAAAAATTAACAAAAACTTAAATTTTAACAAAAAATAAATATTTTTAAAAAAAAACTTAAATTTTAACAAAAAATAAAAATTATGTATTTAAGATTTAAAAATAGTTGATAAAAGCATTAATGATACACTGGGTTATTTTTAGTATTTTAATAATTTTTTAACTTTTATCATAATTAATTTTTTAAATAATATTCTTATATATTTTTATTTTTTAAATGTTATTTTTATACAAATACTGACTGAATACTACTTATTTAACTCAATTTTCGTTTAAGTTTTAGATATGTTAAGTATAAAATTGAAAATTTTTTCAAATTTTTTAGTTAAAATTTTAAAAATTATAATATTAATAAAAAAATTATAATATAAATATTTATTGTTTTATTAACTTCTTAAACTATCTTAAACTAATATTTAAATTGTAATATGATTACTCTTTTCAACAAATAGGTAATTTTTAATTTTTTAGTTTATTTTAATTAAAATATTGTTATTTTATGATGAGTTTTAACGATATTTTAACTATTTTTAATCAATAATTAGATTCTTATTAATATTAAAAACATAAAAACACTTACTAAAATAGTATCAACTAAAATTAAAATTTTTATAAATTTCAAAAAAAAATTCGGCGCCGAAATTTTAGGGGGGGGGGTCATTTCTCWTCGTTTTTAAGCGAAAATTTTTCYAATTTGRTCAAAAAGTCTGGGGGGGTAAAATCCCAAWWTCTCGWTCTTAGGGGGGGGTATTTTGGCCTTATCCCCCTACCCCCCTTACTTAACCCTGATACAGTATATAAGTGTGCATATATGTGCCAATGTTAAATGAATGTTAATGTTATGTCCAAGTGTTAATAATCTTACATTTAATAATATTAGTAATATATTTTTGGGTCAAAACTTACCAAACGATCCCATAATATTGCCAATGGTGTCAAACGTTGTCTGCAATGATATCAATTTGATTTCGGTATCCAAAATGTATTTCATATCCACCATAATTACCGGAAAATAAGCAAACAATATACCCTAATTATTAATATTATTAAGAAAATTAATTTTAGTATAAATATTGATTATTAACAAAATTAAACTTACAAATGATAATTGTGTTGCAAATATATATAAACTATAATAATATTTATCCCATTGTTTTAATAGTTTAGTTAATTTCATTATTTATTTTTTATTATTATTATTATTTAATATATTACTATTAATAACAATTACTTAAATTACATTAGTCATAATAACAAAGTCAGTCATAATAAGCTTTAATTAATTTTTTAGTCAAATTTTATAATACCGGTATCCATGTATTATACCGTATATTATGTAGAGATATGATTGAATTGGCAACCAGTTAGCTAATACAGTACTTATTTATAAAAGAAATTTTTAATTTAATATACAATATATTGCTTTTTTTAGCTCTTATAATTTCACTTTCATTATGATTAAACAATTTAAATCATTAAACATTTACTGTACATTAATTAAAAAACATTAAATATATAAATTAATATTTTTGATTTTTGAAAAAAATAATTTTATTTTATGATTTGTAAATATCAAAAAATAATTTGTTTTTTTTAAATAATATTTAATCACCATTTCAGTGTATATGTATTATTATGCTTATTAATAGTATTTTTAACAATAAAATTTAATTAATAAATATCTTATTTTTTTTAATTATTTTTAATATATTTATATTTAAAAGCTAAACAATTAGGCTGACAATTATAAATGTTAATTTTATTTTTTACAAAATCATGAATTGAAAAAAAATTGAAAAATAGATTATTATGTTAATAATTTTTTATTATATCTATAAGTTTGATAGTAAAACTTACCAAACGATCCCACAGTATTGCCAATGGTGTCAATGGTTGTCTTCAATGATATCAATTTGATATCGGTATCGAAAATGTATTTCATATCCAAACATAATTACGGGAAAGTATGCAAACAATATGCCCTAATTATTAATATTATTGACAAAAAAAAATATTTCATTAATTTTAAAATAAAAATTATTTACAGAATTAACTTACAATTGATAATTGTGTTGAAAATAAATAAAAACTATAATAATATTTATCCCATTGTTGTAATAGTTTAGTTAATTTCATTATTTATTAATTGTAACTGCTTTTATTTATTATTATTATTATTATTATCTAATATATTACTATTAATAACAATTACTTAAATTACATTAGTCATAATAAGCTTTAATTAATTTTTTAGTAAAATTTTATAGTACAGGTGTCTTTGTTTAATATCATATATTATGTAGAGAGATGATTGAATACAGTATTTATTAATAAAAATAATTTTTAATTTAATATATTGTTGTTTTTTCTCTAATAAATTTACTTTCATTATGATTAAACAATTTTAATCTTTAAAAATTTACTGTACACTAATTAAAATTTACATTAAAAAGCAACAAAATTTATTAACAATTTACTATTCTCGATTTTTAAAAATAATTTAATTTATTTTATAATTTGAAAAATATCATAAAATAATGGGGGGTTTTCATAATTTAATTGTTTAGTAGATTTTTAGTTAATCACTATTTTTGTATATTATTATACTGCATGTTTAATATTTTTTTTAAACAATAAAATTTAATTAATAAATATCTTTTTAATTATTTTTAATATATTTATACTTTAAAGCTAAACAATTAGACCGATAATTAAAAATGTCAATTTTTTTTAAACAAAAATATTTAAAAAAAATAATTTTAAATATATTATAGATAAAAGCTAAATAATTATAAATGCAATATTTAAGAAAATCTTATTTATTTAAAACGTTTTATACTATTTATAATGTTAATAATTTTTTATATCTATAAATTTGATAGTAAATTATTAAAAACAATAACAACATTGCAGCCAGATAAAATATCTCAATCCATACAAATATGATTGGGTAGTCATTGATAAACTCACCGATAATATAGGGTGTAATCAATGTTAATAAACCACTACAAAATAGGAAAGCATTGCTCATTGTATTACTTAAAGTTAGATATTGACTCGTAAATGAAAATGATAAGGAAAAAAGTGGCGAACAACCGGCCATCAGAACACAACTGGCCACCCATGGGACTGTTAGATACCAGTGGCCAAAAATTAACAGTACTATACCGGCAACCAGTAGTGTATAAAGACTACGGTATTAATCGACAAATACATGGCTAACACTATGTTCACTACTTTGCCAACGGTGAAGACCACTGTTGCAATACTATACATGTGTCCGGCTTCGGGTGCCGTCAATCGATGCGGTGAATACTGATAGTAAGTGACGGCAAACTTGAGAAACACTGTCTCCATTAGTATATAAGCGCCAAACCATAGGGTCAACAATACACGCATTAATATACGCGGACTGCGCGGGTCGTCAAACAGTTTCAAATTATTATTTTGTGTATTATGTTGTTGTTGTTGTTGTCTACTATTGCTTTCATCCATTTCCATACCATTACTATCCACTGTATTGTTATTATCTGAGACATTATTACTGACACTACTAATTTCTGGCATTTTATATGGTTTAATAATATAAACAACAAGTGATACAATGGGAACTATAGATAAATTAAATAATTAAACAATTAATTAATTAATTAATTAAACAAATAAATAAATGAATAATTAATAAATAATAATAATACCTATTGCTAGTACAGAACACAATACAATTGATGGCACCGTTAATCTGTCTCGTCTAACATCAACCGGTACCAGTGGTTTGCCCGGTTCAATGTTGCCGATCGTATACATTGACATAACGGTTGTGCCAATAGTGGTGCCCAGACCAAAGCTAACTGCGTTAAACTGTAGTACTGGTGCGCTCCGGTGTTTCCATAGTTCAATAGTCCAGACAATATAGCCGCTGATGTTGACAGTGGAGCCGAAACCAAACAGAAATGCAATTACGTATAGTTGCCATAAACTGGTCAGTAATGGTGTGCACGCGTATAGGACAGACATCATAATAAACGCAATGGCCATCACTATCTGTCGATTTAACCATTTGTATGTCAGTCCAACTATAATTGTAATGATGTGTACATATAATTATAATTCTTGTTAACAATTATTATATAATTATTTATTATTTATTTTTTGTTAAATCTTACCAAATGTTCCCAAAGTATAGCCAATGGTGTCAAACGTTGTCTGCAATGATATCAATTTGATATCGGTATCCAAAATGTATTTCATATCCACCATAATTATGGGAAAGTATGCAAACAATATGCCCTAATTATTAATATAATATTTAAAAATATTTTTATTAATTTTAAAATAAAAATTATTTACTGAATTAACTTACAATTGATAATTGTGTTGCAAATATATATAAACTATAATAATATTTATCCCATTTTTGTAATAATTTAGTTAATTTCATAATATTTACTTTAATTTCAAATTTCTTTTAAACTATTATTTCTAACATTAGTTATTTTTAATAAATAATAAATAAATAATTACTAAATATTAGAAAAAAGTAAACAATTTTAATGCAATTAATATAACAATTAATAATAGTAACTATTATTACTATTATTATAAAATATATTATTATTAATAATAAACTTATATTAAAAATCAAATTAGATCGTTAAATATAATTAATGATAACAATCTTCAAATATGCAATCTTATCAAATAAATAGTATAATTTGAAAATAAAAGTTTTATTAAATATTAATATGATCTAAATGTTATGATTATTTAAATAAAAATTGACAAACATATATATATATATACATAATATCTGTGCTCAATATAATAGTCAGTCATAATAAGCTTTTATTTTTAGGTTAATTTTTATAATACCGGTGTCCATGTTTAATACCATATATTATTTAGAGAGAAATATATTGAATTAGCACCCATTTAGCTAAGCATTTTAACTACACTTATATTAACTTTTAAAAAAGTAATTTTTAATTTAATATAAGATATATTGTTTTATTTACTCTTATAAATTCACTATCATTATGATTAAACAATTTTAATTATTAAGACATTTATACTGTACATTAATTAAAATAACATTAAAAAGCAACAATTTACTATTAATAATATTATATCTAAAAAATTAATATTCTCGATTTTTAAAAATAATTTAATTTGATTTATTTTATGATTTGTAAATATCATGAAAATAATGGAGGGTTTTCATAATTTAATTGTTTAGTAGATTTTTATTTAATCACTATTTTTGTATATTATTATTATTATGCATATTAATATTTTTTTTAACTATAAAATTTAATTAATAAATATCTAATATTTTTTATTATTTTTAATAGATTTATATTTTAAAGTTAAACAATTAAACCGATAATTATAAATGCCAATTTTTAGAAAATAATATTTTTTTAAAAAAAAGATATATTTTATTTTATAATTTATTTTAAATATATTTATATATAAAAGCTAAATAATTATAAATGCAAAATTTAAGAAAATCATATTTATTTAAAAATTTATTTATATAGTTAATATTTTTTTATATCTATAAATTTGATAGTAAATAATTAAAAACAATAACAACATTGCAGCCAGATAAAATATCTCAATCCATACATATATGATTGGGTAGTCATTGATAAACTCGCCGATAATATAGGGTGTAATCAATGTTAGGATACCCCGAAAAAATATGAAAACATTGCTTAGTTTGTTGGTTACAGTTAAATATTGGTCCGTAAATGAATAGGTTGACGCATATAAAGGGATAGCCATCGACAAACTGGCCGATAATATAGGGTGTAATCAATATTAATAAACTCCTACACAAAATAGTAAAACATTGCTCAATTGTATATATTGTTAGATATGCTCAAAAGTTAGATATTGACTCGTAAATGAAAATGATAAGGAAAAAAAGTGGCGCACAACCGGCCATCAGTACACAACTGGCCATCCATAGCACTGTTAGATACCAGTGGCCAAAAATTAACAGTACTATACCGGCAACCAGTAGTGTATAGTGTATACAGACTATGGTATTGATCGACAAATACACGGCTAACACAATGTTCACTACTCTGTCATCATAATCATCATCGGTCACTGGCATCTACTGGCCAGTACTATGGATGACCATCTGTACGATGATGATTGGCTACTGCACCGTTAATCAACAACAACAAAATAAGCACCGGTTACTGTAAACTACCAGTGCATTATAGACTACATAGTACTAAAACAATGTTTAGTTAACAAAACTAATAGTTAGTTTAAAATGAATTTAAATTAATAGTTTTAATTTATATAATATTTTAAACTATAATTAACTTTTAAAAATTAATTTTATTTACTATAACTAAACAACTTTAGTATATAATTTATTAATATATTTTTTTTATGTCAATTGTTTCACTAATTTTGCATATATTTGTTTTAATTTAAATACTATTTGTTTTATCATTAAACTATTTGATTATTAATCGTGATATTAATTTTTTAAAATAAAATTATTTGAATAATTAAATATCTATGGATATGTATATAAATTTATACATTATATATAGTGTATATTATTATTAAAGTATTATTATTGTATTAATTATAATTATATTTAGTTTATTTGCAACTTTAAAAAAATCTAATTTAAATATTTTTAAAAACAAATATATTTTTTTGAAATAAAATTAATTTTATTTTATATTCTTAATTACCAATATAAATATTTGTTACAATGAAATTAACTAAACTATTACAACAATGGGATAAATATTATTATAGTTTATATTTATTTTTAACACAATTATCATTTGTAAGTAATTTTTATTTTTGAAAAATTAAATATTTTATAGCCAAAAAAATTTATAAATTGATATTTAATAATTATAATTTATTGTTAATTATAATAATTAGGGCATATTATATGCATATTTTTCGGTAATTATGGTGGATATGAAATACATTTTGGATACCGAAATCAAATTGATATCATTGCATACAACTATCGACACCATTGGGTATACTATGGGTACATTTGGTAAGTTTTTTATACTTAAAATAAAACAATAAATTATTAAAAAAAAATTATAAACTAATTATTGGCACAACACTTACATATACACACAGTTGGACTGACATATAAATGGTTAAACCGGCAGATAGTGATGGCCATTGCGTTTATTATGATGTCTGGCCTATACGCGTGCACACCATTACTGACCAGTCTATGGCAACTATACCTATTTTCATTTCTGTTTGGTTTCGGCTCCAGTATCAACATTAGCGGCTTTATTGTCTGGACTATTGAACTGTGGCAACCACGTAGCGCACCCGTACTACTGTTGAACTCATTGGGTTTCGGTCTGGGCACCATTATTGGCACTGCAGTTACGTCAATGTATACGACCGGCAACATTGAACCGGACAAACCACTGGTACCGGTTGATGTTAGACGAGACAGATTAACGGTACCGTCACTTGTACTGTGCTCTGTACTAGCGATAGGTATTATTATTATTATTTGCTTACGAAAATATATTTATATTACAAATATTATCATTACTAAACATTATTATATTTAATTAATTAATCTAATAGTTCCCATCGCATCACTGGTAGGCTATTGTATCAAACCATACAAAATGCCAGTCAATGTTTTAGATAATAATAATAATAACGACGACAACAACAACAACAGTGATGGTGACAATTATGAAAGCATAAAAATGTTGGAAAGTCATAGTCGACAACAACAACAACATAAGCAACAAACACCTGATTTGAAACTGTTTGACGACCCGCGCAGTCCGCGTATATTAATACGGGTATTGTTTACCCTATGGTTTGGCGTTTATATACTAATGGAAACAATGTTTCGCAAGTATGCCATAACATACTATCAGTATTCACCGCACAGACTGACAGCACCCGAAGCCGGAAACATATTCACAATTTCTACAGTAGTCTATTCGGCAACTCATTTAGTCTATATAGTGTTGGCCATCTATGTGTCGGTCAATACTGTAGTCTACATACACTATATAATACTGGTTGTCGGTACTGTATTGCTGGTTATTGGTCACTGGAATCTGACCGTACTATGGGTGGCCACCTGTACTCTGATGGTCGGATTTGCACCGTTATATGCGTCAACATTTTCGTTTACATCACAATATCTAACTGTAACCAACAAACTAAGCAATGTTTTCCTATTTTTTCGGGGTATCCTAACATTGATAACACCCTATATTATCGGCGAGTTTATCGATGGCTATCCAATGATATTGATATGGGTTGAGATATTTTATCTGGCTGCAATGTTGATATTGTTTTTAATTATTTACTATCAAATTTATAGATATAGAAAAATTATTAAATAACTTTTGAATTGATTTTATCAATAAATAACTGTAATATGATATACAGTTAGCCATAGCACTAATGGACAGTTCAGGCAATACACAGCACCGGGCTAATGCAAACTACCAGTGCATTATAGACTATACACTTCAACATTATTTATTAATAGTTAGTTCACAATGCAATAAATTGATAATTTTTTTTAAATATAGTAGTTTTAACCATAATTAACATAAGTTTTATTTAAATAATATTTTTATTATACATAAACTAATTAATTATGTAAGACTAACTGTGCAGTTACCTGGACAACATACAGTATTAATATATAAATAAATATATTATTTTTATGAGAAATGTTTTTAAACTATTTATTGTTTAGATTAAATTTTTCCCACATTTTCATTACAATTATTAAACATTTACATTGATTTAATTATAACAAAAATAATAATCATCGTGACATTATTTTTTTTATAATAAAAATATTAGTATATATAAAAAATATATATAATATGATACTATTTAATTTACCTATATAATTTATATATAAGTATTTAGTTTGTTTGTAACTTTTTTTTAAATAAAATGAAATTAATTTGAATAAAATGAAATTAAATAAGTTATTAAAACTATGGGATAAATATTATTATAGTTTATATTTATTTTTAACACAATTATCATATGTAAGTAATTTTTAATTTTAAAAAATTAAATATTTTAAAGCCATAAATTCTTAAATTGTCATTCTAATAATTATAATTTATTGTATTATATATATTTAGGGCATATTATATGCATATTTTTCGGTAATTATGGTGGATATGAAATATATTTTGGATACCGAAATCAAATTGATATCATTGCATACAACTATCGACACTATTGGCTATACTATGGGTACATTTGGTAAGTAATTTTGTTTTACTTAAAATAAAACAATAAATTATTAATTAATACAACAAAAAAATATAAATTAATTATTGGTACAATATTTACATACAAACACACACACACACAGTTGGACTGACATATAAATGGTTGAACCGACAGATAGTGATGGCCATTGCCTTTATTATGATGTCTGTCCTATACGCGTGCACACCATTACTGACCAGTTTATGGCAACTATACCTAATTGTCTTCCTGTTCGGCATCGGCTCCAGTATCAACGTAAGCGGTTATGTTGTCTGGCCTATTGAACTCTGGCAAAAACGTAGTGCACCGGTACTACAATTGAACTCATTGGGCTTTAGCCTGGGAGCCATCATTGGTACAGCAGTTATGTAAGTCTATACGACCGGCAACATTGAACCGGACAAACCACTGGTACCGGTCGATGTAAGACGAGATAAACTAACGGTGCCTTCACTTGTACTGTGCTCTGTACTAACAATAGGTATTACTATTAATTAATTAGTTAATCATTATATTGTTTTTATTTAATTAATCTATAGTTCCCATAATGTCACTGGTAGTCTATATATTCAAACCTTACAAAATGTCTAATAATAATAATAATAATAATAATAATGTCTTAGTGAACAACAACAACAACATTGACAATAGAGAAGGTATAGAAATGTTGGAAAGCCATAGACAACAACAACAACAACAAAAACCTAATAAACAAACACCAGATTTGAAACTGTTTGACGACCCGCGCAGTCCGCGTATATTAATACGGGTATTGTTTACACTATGGTATTGCGCTTATGGACTAATGGAAACAATGTTTCGCAAGTATACCATAACATACTATCAGTATTCACCGCATCGACTGACGGCACCCGAAGCCGGACACATATTCACAATATCTTCAGTAGTCTATTCGGTAACTCGTCTAATCTATATAGTGTTGGCCATCTATGTGTCGGTCAATACTGTACTCTACATACACTATATAATACTGGTTGCCGGTACTGTATTGCTGGTCATTGGTCACTGGCATCTGACAGTACTATGGGTGGCCACCTGTACTCTGATGGTCGGATTTGCACCGTTATATGCGTCAATATTTTCGTTTACATCACAATATCTAACTGTAACCAACAAACTAAGCAATGTTTTCCTATTTTTTCGGGGTATCCTAACATTGATAACACCCTATATTTTCGGCAAGTTTATCGATGGCTATCCAATGATATTGATATGGATTGAAATATTTTATCTGGCTGCAATGTTGTTATTGTTTTCAATTATTTACTATCAAATTTATAGATATAGAAAAATTATTAAATAATTTTTTTTAAGAATTGATTTCATCATAAATAACAATAATATGATATACATTTAGCCATAGTACTAGTGGACAGTTCAGGCAATGAGCACCGGGCAAATGCAAACTACCAGTGCATTATAGACTATACACTTCAGCAATATTTATTTTAACTATTAATAGTTGTAAGTTAATAATGCAATATATTAATAGTTTTTACTAATATAGTAGTTTTAACAATAATTAACATTAATAAAATATTTTTAGTATGATTAAGCTATTTAATTATTAAACATGTACATTAATTAAATAATAATAATAATAATAATATTAATCGTGACATTAATTTTTGTAATTAAAATATTAGTATTATATATAAAATAATATTATTATTTGAAGTATTTAGTTTATTTGAAAGTTTTTAAAAATATATATTTTTGTTAAATAAAATAAAATTAATTTATTTGATTAAAATGAAATTAAATAAATTATTAAAACAATGGGATAAATATTATTATAGTTTATATATATTTTTAGCACAATTAACTTATGTAAGCAAATTATATTAGTTTTATTTTGTAAAATAAAGTAAAAAATTCTAAAATTTTATAGACATAAATAATCAAAAAAATATATATTTAATAAGTATAATTAATTGTATTCAATAATTATAGGGTATATTGATTGCATATTTTCCGGTAATTATGGTGGATATGAAATACATTTTGGACACCGAAATTAAATTGATATCATTGCAGACAACGTTTGAAACTATTGGTTGTATTGTGGGAACATTTGGTAAGTTTTTTTGACACTTTTCTTAAGAAATTTTTTAAAAACAATAAACTATTAAATAAAATATTATATTGTAATTACTTACACATCATTACACAAACATATACTGTATATATAGTTGGACTAACATATAAATGGTTGAACCGGCAGATAGTTATGGCCTTTACCTTTATCATGATGTCTGTCCTATACTCGTGCATACCATTACTGACCAGTTTATGGCAACTATACCTATTTGCCTTCCTGTTTGGTATCGGCTCCACTATCAACATCAGCGGTTATATTGTCTGGCCTATTGAACTCTGGCAACACCGGAGCGCACCGGTACTACAATTGAACTCACTGGGCTATGGCCTGGGAGCCATCATTGGCACAGCAGTTATGTCAATCTATACGACCGGCAACATTGAACCGGACAAACCACTGGTGCCGGTCGATGTAAGACGAGATAAACTAACTGTGCCGTCACTTATACTGTGCTCTGTACTAACAATAGGTATTATTATTAATAATTATTAAAAACATTTTTACATTATTATTATTATAATCATTATATTGTATTTGTATTTAATAAATCTATAGTTCCCATAATGTCACTTATAGTCTATATATTCAAACCATACAAAATGCCTAACAGTAATAGTAATGTCTTAGTGAACAACAACAACACTAGTGATAATAGTGAAGGTATAGAAATGTTGGAAAGCCATAGACAACCACAACAACAACATTATCAACAAACACCTGATTTGAAACTGTTTGACGACCCGCGCAGTCCGCGTATATTAATACGGGTATTGTTTACACTATGGTATGCCGCTTATGTACTAATGGAAATAGTGTTTCGCAAGTATGCCATAACATACTATCAGTATTCACCGCATAGACTGACGGCACCCGAAGCCGGACACATATTCACAATATCTACAGTAGTCTATTCGGTAACTCGTCTAATCTATATAGTGTTGGCCGTCTATGTGTCGGTCAATACTGTAATCTACATACACTATACAATACTGGTTGTCGGTACTGTATTGTTGGTTATTGGTCACTGGCATCTGACCGTACTATGGGTGGCCACCTGTACTCTGATGGTTGGATTTGCACCGTTATATGCGTCAACGTATTCATTTACTGATCAATATTTGACTGTAACCAACAAACTAAGCAATGTTTTCATATTTTTTCGGGGTATCCTAACATTGATTACACCCTATATTATCGGCGAGTTTATCAATGACTACCC